ACACACTGAGCAGAGACAGACACCTGTACCAGAACCAGTTTGTTCTAAGCCTCGATGGCCCTGCTCTAAGTCACTCAGCAACCACCCCAAGCTCCTGATCCATAATGCACCGGGCGGACAAGAGAATCTTTACTCCAGAATCTTGGCATCCAGATTGGCCTCTTCAAGAGGCAGATATTCAATTTCCAGGAACTGGAACCCTATCTCAAGTGAAACAAAGCACGCGGTGGGTTGAATGCATAAGACCTCAGCCTTCCTTTCTGTCCTCGGGCCTTAGTTGTGAACTTTTAATCCTCTCTGGCATCTTAGATGATGGTACACCAGCTTGGTAATATTACCCCAACTGTATAGCACGTACTTGGACCTGGGAACAGTCATAACACGTCTTCCTTTTGTTTAGAAACCACATCCAGGCATGCTCTGACTTGGCCACGTGGATTAACTATTACGCACATTAAATCCATAAACTTCAGTGAGTTTTAGTTTTGTTACTTTGGACCTCATTTTTCATTTGTTGATTTGGGTCCAAGCCCCCCTGCCCCAGCTTCACTATTTAGTGGAGGAGACAAAGATATAGTCACTAGAAATTCGGTATGTGTTACGTGGTGATAAGCACAAGAGATGACAGGAGCATGGGTGTATCTCATCTTGGCATGAAGGCCAGTTCGGTAAGTCGATGCACATGTTCCTTGGAGGAACGGCATGGGAATAGGGACGACTCCAGGCTCAAGAGCAGTTAAGGAACTGTTGACGAGTTTGCTATGGGAAAACTTTGGGGTAAGTGTTCCTGGCCTACAAGACAGGCCTACAAGCTGCTATACGCAGCTAGGCATGCGTGGTCATGTGGGCTTCAGAGTCTACACCACAGGGTCTGTAAGAAGATGGGTGAGTACCAGAGGGTTTCACACAAGAGATGGAGGGAGCACAGCTAAAGTTCCCGGCAGCGCTGTCTCCAGCAAAGTTGCTTGAGCCCATGTTCTTGGGTTACATTGAGGAGCACTCTCAAAACTACAGCTGATTTCTAATGGTTTACATTTATTTATTTAGCGTGTATATGTGCACTCCATGGTATGCGTGTGAAGGGCAGAGGAGAGCTTTTTGGAATCAGTTCTCTCCTTCTACTATGTGGGTTCCAGGGACTGAACTCAGGTTGCTTAGGCTTGGTGGCAAGTGTCCTTCTGTTGACCCATCTCCCTGGGCTCTGAAGTTGTAATGGCATGGGGGTCATCCGAAAGGCAATGGTCATGAGAAATCTCAGGTGACTTTTTTTTTTTTTTACTTTCTTTGAAACATTACTCTCAAGATGAGACAGTGTGAAGAAAAGGGAAAGGGGTTATTAGTCACAGTGCTTGGAAGACTCTTCTAAAAGACAGGAGAGGGTTGAGTAGAGTCTAGACTGAGTCTGTGTGTGTGGTGGGGGATGGAGAGAAGGGGTGGATCTGAGATTCAGGAGCTGTAGCATCAAAGCACAGTAATGGGATAAGCCATTGTTCCATATAAATTAGCAGAATGGGTGGGCTACGAGAAGTGGGCATGTCCAAAGTGGCTGAAGTTTCCATCTCGTTTGCCTGGGTGGAGGGGAAAGTGGCTTTGTTTCCTAGGATTTGCGAGTCTGGAAGAAAAGCAGGGGTGAAGGCGAATAGAAGGAGGGCTTGTGGGGAGTCCAGGCGGAGTACACAGCTGCACGGCAGCTGGTCAGGGAGCCAGCATGGAGTTAGGAAGAGCTGACTCGCTCATTCTTCATCCTGGAAACGAAGGAGCACTTCCAGGGAGAGCAACCGGAAAAAGATGGAGATTGGAGCCTGAGGGTGGACAGTGAGTGAGCAGGTTGAGGAGGAAGACCTAGCAGAGGGCACGGAGAAAGGAAAAGCAGGCGGAGGGGACAGGAGCATGGGGACTTAGTGTGTTGAAAAGGGCAACAGCAAGAAAGGAGTACTGGAAGGGCTTTGGCTTTTCAAATCACCGGTGCCTTGTACAGGCTTCCAGTCACGGGTCACGTGGTGTATGGGTATGCTGTGAAATTATGCACACTACACTCTGATGTGGTGATGTTGGGGAGGAGGGGAGGAACAGGTAACTCAGTGTGAGATAACTTACATCATCCAGATAGGGAATTCAAGGACAAAGTGACTTTGGAGTGGAAGCTGAGTTTGGAAGCATTATTACATGACCCAGAAAGCATTTGTTTAAAAAAAAAAATCACACTACGGTGTGGTAAGAAAAGTAGTCAACTGTTTTGTTTGTCGACTGTTTCTAAATAAAAGAAAATAGGACAACGCTCTCAGGAATATCATTAAAACTTTATAACAATACAATTTATTATCACTGTTTGGGTTAATATTGTAATAATTACACACTTTTTACATTATGAAAATAAGTCATAAATAGTGTAAAAATAATTCCGAAGATCAACTTCTCACAAACTAGGAACCCTGAAAACAAGTTTTAAAAGTAAATTAAAAACAAATTAGAAAATGAACCCAAAGCAATTATCTCCAAATTGCAAATCAGAACCTTCACAGGCCATTGAGTCAATAATGACAGTTGGAAAAATTACAATTGAAATAAGAAATCAAATGGGAAAAATTCAATCTTTTAAATATTTACACTACCAAGACAATCAGGTTTGCACCATATATACAGTGAAAAGATACAACACATTATTAGAATAACCGAGAACATGAGACTGGCCCATGAAACATTATAAAACAAACCCACAAGGCAACACTTGTCAGCTTACAAATACTTGTCATTTTTTTTCCCATTTCCCTCTTACTATGCATTATGTGAGTTTTTGGCAATATAAAAATAGCTGCACATAGAGATGAACTTTAAAATGTAAAAAATACAAATAAAAAATATAATATTTCCAAAAGATAAATCAGATACATACATCTTTTTAAAATGTCCACCTTAATGAAACATTTACATCACAATGAAGAACTCCACCCAGACACCAACAATATGTGTGATATTCTTCAGGAATCCGACTCATGAATATTTCTGAGATAGGTCAGAATATCCATTTATTTTGAGAAATGTTGGCATTTTCTTTGTTGTCAAGAAATCAAACATAACGCGGTCCACCTTCTGTCTCCAAACGTCTGCCAATAAGTGAAGTAGGCAGCTTATACATGTAAATGCATTTTAGTGGAAAAAGAAGCCATTAAAATGTTTGTTATTATAGAAGTAATGAAAACCCTAAATAATTTCACCAGCAACCTAAGTTAGAGGAGTGCCTCTGGGCGAGAAGATGCGTTAAGAGAACAGAAGTAGGGACAGAGGGCCTTTACATCCTAATGGGGTTGGCTGAATTTTAACTGGTCAGACCTCTCAACCACCAGGATCACAGCTGGCCATTTTTAGTATTTTTGGAATGATAAGGCTCCAGGAAGCCTTATGAGATAGTAGGACTTTTTATTATTGTTATTACAAAAATCATTAAATTCTGTTTTGGTAGGCATTAAACATTAAAATAATCTGAATATCATCAAGAAAGGAAAAAAAATCAAAGTTTCAGATGTCAGCGCCCAAGTTTCCCATGACTACTTTCGAGAAGATGCTGAACTCTCAGACACATATAGTGGGAGGGGGATTAAACTGTTATTTTTTTATGTTAAAGAATACTTGGCAATTAGGTACATTTACTAAGAACAATTTCCCCAAAAGTACAGAATGTGATCTGACCACTTTCTTAAGCTAGCAGACACACACACAAAGTACACATATGTGAACTGCCCATGGACACATCAGATACTCGGAGTATACATCCAAAGCCAAGAACTTTCTATTGGTAGGAGTGAGAGGCATTCCAATATTCTCCATAAGATAACAGGAAAAGGAAAAACCCTCCAAGGCTGCATTTGATAACGGGAAAGGAAAGCTGGGAGGGACTCAGGCATACTTAGGTGTACCCTACGGGTTGCGTGCAGACTTCTCTAGCACTGGCTGCGTCAGGCAAGCTTGCAGTGTGTAAGCTGGAAGGTGAGGGAACTCGCACACACACACAAAAGGTAAATGAAAACCAATAAAGACATACGGTGTATATGATGAACACAGGATAAGGGGCACCACAGTTTTACATGAGGAAAGGCTGGTCATTGAACTACAGGACAACAGATTCATGAGCTTCAAAAATAAAACCACACAATAACAGCTTAGGAATGCCATTAAACAGAAATAAAATCGCCCACAGTAGAGGCTGACTATCCATAGAAATAAAAAGGAAGGGTATTTCCCAGCAGCCACCGAGGCTAATGGGAAACGGTGGAGAGAGGCAACGTGACAGTGGCAGCCTGAAGTAAAACCTGACCTTGACATATTTCCAGTGAGTGTCCCATACCCCTTTTTCTTCATTCCCCTAAAGAAGTCTTTATGAAAAAGAATGCAGTCTATAAATATACGTATCAACACAATAATCCATTATTGATTCCTTTGGAAATTACTCAGTTTGATGACAAAAATGGATGATTAAATATGTTTTCATAGTCCAAAGCTCAAGGTTAACGGATGGTAGCTAACCTAGCAATCCACTGAGCACAGGGAATTACCATCATCCTGTTTGTTCCAAGATAGTACAGAAATAGAAATTTACACGTTCCTGCAAATGTGCCTTACAAGGAAAACCCCAGTGCACACACACACTGTGCAGTGTTTTCTACAGGGGTGTGCCCAATACTTTAATGAAGCTAGTTCAACAATAAAATCATCATTAGAATCTCTCTAAATTTGAAATAATGATCCCTCTCAATACCTCTTTCTAGTGGAGAAACAGAAAGGAAGATAGTAAGAAATATAGTCACCAGACTGACCTCAAGATCCTATATACAATTGCTTTGCTTTCTGTTTTTGAAGATAATGTGTAATCTTGGGCTCATTTTTGTGACCCAAATGATTTAAGACAAATTGTTTCATTTATTGTGAAATACCTTACCCTAAACATATCATACAAGAAATTGTTAGAAACACTCTTCACTAAAAAAAAAAAATGCTGAATTGGCTTAGGAGTGTGGAATGTTATTAGAAGTACTACTAGATAGTCTGATCTAACATTTAAATTCTAATCTCAGAAATGACAAAGAAAAAAGATGACATCATTTGTATGACTGAGCATTTGGTTACACGATATGAAAGACATCTTAAGATCTGTTTTGAAATTGTATCTTTGTTCTTGTAAGCCTAAGCATGAACTAATTTCCCTTCTGGTGGTGAAAAATCTAAGCACTGAGCTCAAAATGTTCCCAGAAACATTCAATTACCGAGGGAAATGAAATTCTCTAATGGGCGGCTAGGATAACTGCTCCCATGGATGGTGCTTCTCCAGACCACCCTTCTACTTAAAATAAGTCATTTCAAAACATGCCACAAATTCAGCAAGGAATTGCCCAGTCTAAGTCTCGTTGGTATGTTTTGAGCAAGTCGATAAAAACAAGACCTTTTCTGGCAACTATATTTCAGGGCTTTCTGAGATCTCAGATTTGGTCTGTGGATAAGACAAACACTTAGAAATGTAAAAACAAAACTTGAGAAATAAACTTCAATATAGAAAAAAAACTAGAAGAAGCAAGTTCATGCTATCAAATGTGATAAAATCTTGACTTTACGTTGATAACAAATTTGTCAACGTCAATCAAAAAGTAGTGAAAAAATGCTTAATTGTCATACTTTATAATGAATTAAGTAAAAAAAAATAAAGCCTTCCTATAATCTCTTCAATTATCTTAAACAAAAAAAGGAGATGGTAAAAGGTTATTTTTACTATTGGATTCAAATCATTACACGATTTGAAAACTTTTCTTAAAAATAACGTTTAAAAACCTATGAGGCCCAAAGTGAAGCAAATAGTTTCTGTTCCTAAGAAAACAAACAGTATGCAAGAGAATGGAAACTACACTTTGTTTCTAGAACTTGTATAAAAAAGCGACTGGTATGTGTCAACCCCAGAAGGAAGGGAGAGACGGACACTTTCCGGCTACCTTTGGTAGAGCCAGCACTAAGAATTTTCCGGCATTTGTAACACAGCTTATTCTGTCCGATCCCTTCTCGGGACACGATCTCTCTTCAGCAGTCTGAGCTCTGATGGCAAGTCTGCACCTTTCGATCTGCACAAACAGGGGCTTCCATTCCAAGGCTCCGCTGTCTCCGAAACACAGTTGCATTACCTCTGACTTTTTCCCAAAGCACCGAGATCAACACCCATGGGAAGTCAGTTCATCTAGAAAAACAATTCCTGCCCCTCTGGATTTCCGTGGTTTTAAATCTCCTTCCAACTCGGTCACGCAAGAGACAGTGCAGGATGCTGAACCGGGTCCTCTTCCGACGTCTTCGCTGCCAAGCGCAGCCCAAGGAAAACAAGTGGCAGTAATCCACTCAACCCTTCGGTTTTTCAACCAAGGCGGCCACCGAAGCCCGCATTGCTAGGATCTGTGGATCTACAGTCGGGACTGCAGCTCCCTCAAAATATAAGACCAACTGTGTGTGCGCTCTCCAGAAACTTATCTCTTTTTGGCAATGAGCCACGGTGTAACCCCCTTGAGACGACAAAAGGAACAAAGGCTCAGCTGTAGTCAGAGAACTTCTGAGGCGGCATGCAAGCGTCTGCATTTGCACAAGCAGGGTTGGCACGGGGTCATGCTGGTTTTAGTCAGTTTCAGTAGGTGCGGTGGGCGTGAATGGGTGTTCCTAGGGAAATGTGTGCTACACGTTCTTAGCTTTGAGTCCGTATTTGGTCACGATTTCATGTAAACTATTTCATGGCACTTTCTGTCCATGCAATCAACAAGCTCCAAATAGGAAACTAGCGAGAGCAATCATTCTTTGTCCCTGATGTCCGTATAAATACGTATGTTCACATAAGATAGAGACACTGAGCTATATTTCCTGTGGCCTCCTCACTTCTGTACATTGCCTAGTTTCAGATGTGAGAAGAGATGGGCGTCTGTACTACTGTGACCAGGGAGAAACAGTGCCGGGGGGGAGCAGATCCCACACTTGCAAAATCTGCGAGTCACAGTTTTTCAACTATAAATATAACAGGTGGACCATTATATACACAACTTCATGCTTGGAAGGTTAGATTCATCACTGCAGAAAAACAGACAACAAACACACACACGTGGAGTTAGTGGCAACTTCGATAACAACTCCAAATTAGCGTCTATTTTGCAAACACTGGAAGAACCCTGTGGTCTTTTCTTTAGGTCAGCAAGCCAATTTGATCATCTGATGTTTCCCAGATCACACTGTTTAAAACCCCAGTTCACCATGGTTCTCATCTTAGTTCCAACTCCCATTGTTCCCTGGCCAACCAAGAACTTTATGAGAAGTGACTGTATTAGTCGCTGTGCTGGGAAAGCAGAAAACTGTGATTTTTATTACAGGCATGCTTCCGTTACTACACACGATGTCTCCAGGCATGGCAACATAACCTAATAATGGCCAAAGGGTCTAAGCTCAAAGGCATATTAACCTACAGCTTCCTGCATATAATGCATATGCATTTCCTAGTCATGGTCTCTTGGCCCTATAACTAGCCTTGCCCTGAAAGGCACCTGACAAGACAAACCTGCCCGCTATCAGTTCCACTGTGACCGGAAAAAAAAAAATTCCCCCAATCTTTGGTTCCTCATTTAGAAGGTCTTTCCAGAACCACCATCAACTCAGACTAAGCAGCCATTTTCCCTGGGCTATTAGCTTACAGAGCAGTTCTTAGAGACTTCTTTAGGATTTTGTTTTGTATTGCTTCTTTTTTGGGGGAACAGTGTTTCACTACATAGCTCAGGCTGGCCTTGAACTCACAGAGCCCTGCCTGCCTTCTGGGAGCTGGGACCAAAGGCGGGTGCCACCATGTCTGGCGTTTCCTTTAGTTTTACTCAAAGAAAAATCAATGAGAAAAGTACAGTGCAGAGGGGACGGGGTGATGCTGCCTTCTGGCCCGCCCTCCACAGGTAAGCTGTCCAGATTCCCCTTTCCAGGAGTGCACTAATAACACCCTTTTTCTTTTTGCAAGAAAAAACTGCATAAGAATGAACCTGTCAATATCTGATCACGGAGGATCTATATGTAGTTGCTGGTTGATGGGGAGACATTGTCTTAAACAGTCTAACCACTGCTAAAGTGCCCATCCTCCTGTGAACAATCCTGTAACTCTGCTTCTCTAAGTGACCTAATGAAATTCATTAGACCATCAAAATAGCAGGGGGACTAGTTGGAAAGGAAATCAATGGGAGGAGGGGAGAGACAGGAGAAGGTAACGGGTGGGCGAATATGACCAAAATATACTAGATACATGCATAAAGATGTCATAATGGATCCATTATGTGTAATTAGTATATGCTAATAAGACACTAAAATGCCACAAACGTGTTTATACTGGATAGCCCAAATAAAACAGGAATAGCCAGAAGCCACCTACATGCTTTATTTATAACATATAAATAAAAATTACTGGACTAGTTGAGATATCTAAATTGTCTAAGAAATCTGAGAAAATTTCCTTTTTCTTATTTCACTGATATCAGGAGAGGGGAGATGTTGATTGGAGTTTATATGTTCTGTGTGGAGGTTCTAAGCAATACCAAAGTTTTATAATTGGGCTATTTTTCTTTGTAGAAGAGGTCAGATTCATGAGATTCTTAATCTTATGTAGAATATAGTACCTATTTAATAGAAAGCTGAATATTTCTATGGACAATTCCGGTTCAATCACAGTATTTGTGTTACTACTGGGATTTCATCTCAGGGGCTAACGAGATGAAAAAAGCCTTTCACTTGTTGCCCTTACATCTATTTCCTTATGAAAAAGAAAATGATTTAGAATTGTCCCAGACCATAAGTGACTCCAAGTTTTAAGTGGTGCTCAGTGTAGGGGAAATGAACTCTTGGCATCTCTAGGTTCAGTGTACTAATGACCAGCTTAAAAAAAATCATCTTACTGAATTACAGTGGAGAGGATAGAGAGCAAATGGCCATCCCGGCACAGGATGGCATTACAATGTCTGTGCACGGCAGGTAAGCCGGCAAGAGGCTAGTTTTACCAGCTAAGGAAGGCGCTGATGAGGGGGTCTCTAGCCAGAGACCCTCTTGACCTCAGATGCAACTGAGTTAATTATCTGATAGGCTCAAAGGAGAGCTGGGGAAGCTAATAAATAAAAGACGCTGCCATGAGAGAAGGCGTTTTTGTCCCCAGCTAAGTGTGTGAAGTTAGTTGAGAAAGCAAATTACATAAGATTTCCTGATGGTTGAGTTGCTGACTTGAGAGGCAACCAAGAACCCAATGTCTCCTCATGTTTCCGCACGCTGGCTTACACAGTTTGTTCTAATTTTGCAAATGACGTGTGGCTGGCTACAATTACTGGATAAGCTACAAAGTGTTGGAGATAACATTTCAGAGCCATCAAAGCAACCTGGATGCTTCCCTTATCACATTGCTATTTCTAGGCATTTCTTTGCCCTCCAGTAACCTGCACCCTGGGGTCACAGCATCGCCATGTAAAGCGTCTTCACTCCCTGGGCAGTGCAGAATGCACAGAGCTCCGTCGGCCTGCTTGAAATGCTAACTGCTACTTCCTGATGTCTCTCCATTCTAGCCTTGCTACCTACCAGCTTGCTGCTCTTGAAAGTTTCTTCACGTTTCCAAATTGACATTACTCATGTGTAGGCTACTGTATGGATTAATTGACACAATAGGGCATGACTTATAGTCTTTGTGCACAGAAGGTTCTCTGGGTTGAGCCATTTGTACTGAATACATTCACAGTGATGATAGGCAGTCATGTGATGAGGATTAAACAAACCAATATAGAATGATGCCAGCATAGACTTAAGCAGACACCACTAAATAAATGGCGATATCACTGATAAGTGTTGTGTGTTTATATTTTCTGCTTTCCCAGTTGTGTGACTGCTACGCACAGGGTTCGACCATAGATTTGCATATTTGTCAATGCAACAGATACAGGGAAAAATCACAATTAAAAATATTTTTTAAACCGTAGGAGGAAAGAGTTCATTGGCAGAGAGCCAAACAATCTTATCAGATTAAAAAATTAGATATATTGCGCCTTTCCATCACAAACAATGACTTTGAGGTTCCAGATTACAATTTGCCAAGATTATAGTTTGTTTTTGCCTGTTGGTTTGGGTGGAAATCGGTTTAAACACATTCATCTAAATATTGGCCAGAGCTGGCATATTTGCTCTGAAATACCCGGTTTTCAAGAATGTCATATGTAAAAGGTCTGTTCTGCAATGGAAAGAGCCTGGTCAAGATTAGGATTTCTTTTTAGAAAACAAAACAAAACAAAAACCCTTAAGGCCTACCTACCTTTTGCCAGCAGCCAGGCATGGGTAATCCATCAGGTCCCTGGTTTTGAAGGGAAGGAAAAGAATTCCTTAGGCTCTTGTAAGTAATCAGATATAAATCGACATGCCAAGAGACTTCAAAAATTGTTTCTATCAGGTGGCTTCAGTCATAGGCATCTTATACTAAGTAGTAGCTCATGATATTTTACCTACTGTTAGTTAAAATGAATGTAATTCAAATGCTTTCCAGACTGAGCACACCTCTAGAAAAGACGTGAATACAGAGAGGGCAGTGTCTATGGAAACAGAATGTACAAGGCATAGTGGTCTCGTGCGCTGCTCACAGGCGGAGCTGTAGCTAACACATCTGCCCAGTGCATGGCACCTCTTAGTGCCATCAGAACATCTCACAGTCATCTTGGCTAAATAAATCAGAGTTTCATTTCCTTGGGGTCACTCTGGACTATGGTTTGTGGCGTTGGCAATCAAAGGCAAAGCATTTCTATCTGAAGTTTATAGCTCTCTGTATGCCAGTGGATATTACAGAATATACTCATTTGAAACACGGCAGTCTGTCCGCATATTAAAGTAAATGTCACCGACTGTGTTTACCAGCGCTTCTGTTGAGCTTTTCAGAAGCCAGTGAACATTCCGAATGAAGGGTTCTAAATACTGCAGAAAATAATGCATTTTAAGGTGGAAGCCTCTTCAGATACACATGAGACTGGAAGATATGACATGTCGAAGGCATGCATTTCCCTCTGATGAAGGGGCTTATAAAATATGGCTTATCAACACAAGCAAACAAAAGACAGACTACTCCGTATTAACACATTCTAACTATCACAATTGACTGAATAATATTTTTTCTATACACACAATCTCTTTAAAGACTCACAAAATATACATTTCCCTTTAATGAATCATGCTTATAACTGAAGAATTATGTGAGGCCATGCAGACCATGTGGAACACGATGACAAAAAGCTTTCTTTATACTCCACAAAATATAATCACACTACCCTTTTTATTGTAAAAAGATAATCTAGCTTTGTAACATATTTGGGAGAAATCGGTGGTGCCAGATTGGTACAAGGAAAAGGATCAGCCAGTAGAATTTTAGATTTTAGTATAAGGAGGATTTTGAGTTCATGCCAATGAAGGAGGGAGTTCTGTCTACTTTGGGAAAGTAAGTTTTGCAGGGAGAGACCATTACGTCGAAAAGGTTATGTGACAGAGAAGAGGGTTTGGGCTGCAGTCAATGCTCATCTTTAGATATGCAGGGCAGTTGCCTTCCTTCCTATGGTCTCTTAAAAACGTTGCTTCGGATTGGTTAACTCCTGACCACAGAAGCTTTGTTATGTAGGTTTGGCCTTGTTTACGGCCCTGATAAAACTGGAATGGGAGAGACAAAAACATCTTTCTTTCTTTCAGAGGAAAGGAAAAAGTTAAGCAGGGTAATCGTCCAAACTTCTGGCTTACCAGTGCCTTTGCATCAAGTGTTCTTATCTAACTCATAAATAATCTCTGAATAGTTATTGGATAAGTTAATATTCCAAAGAACATAGAGATGGACATGTCAGTAGTGAGAACAATGTTAGAAGATTAATTTACTTTTGTTGATGACACGTGCTTGCTCTCTCCCCTCTGCAGAGCCCAGGGAGGAGCCCACTCATGCACATGCACATGTAGTATGTTTATCATGTAAAGCTTACTCCAGAAAGAAGCACTTTACACTGATACAGATAAATACATAGTAAATAAAGGAATGGCATGCAGGATGGTAGGAAAGAGAAATACTGTACCAATTGGCAAGGGGCATCCAGCCCATCCAGGCCAGGCTGGCCTGGCTCCCCCTTTTCCCCCTTAACGCCACGGAATCCCTGTTTGTAAAGATTAACTCATAACGTTACTAATCCAAGAAGTCATTGAAGGCAAAAATCTGCTAAAAGAAACAACTAAAAGAAAAAGTTGGGAGAGGAACAATTTAGAAGGGACTTAACATGCAGAGACGGCTCTCATCATCATGACGAGGCCTTGTCAGGAGACCATAGCCTCCTCTGTGGAAGGGTATGGAATGGTGTTGGCCCCTCTTCACATCCTATATTCAGGCTCCAGCCTGTATGAGAGTTTAGAGACAGAGTAGCAAGAATGGCCGGCAACAAGATGTGAGGCACATCTGTGCATCCCGAGCACCCGTCTGCAGGTCCATGTTCAATGGCCCTCCTGGGAAGCTGCTGTTACTGGTCCCTCTGGCCTGCTCCTCTCCCATTTCACCCCTCACACACAACATCTGGAGACAGTTGCACAAGTTAGACATACCAACGGGCAGGGTGCATCTAATCCAGGAGCGCCCTGTTCTCCTTTCTCCCCTTTAGGCCCCTTTTTGCCTTTCTTTCCCTTTTCCCCCTGTGAATACAAGGGTTTAAATAAAAGACAGATTTTATTTGGGTGGGGTGTAGAATAAAAATGATTCAAAATATGGTTTAGCTAAGAATAGTCTGGAAGGGCATTTACCACTGTTTTCTGACATAGAGAAGAGAGATGCTATGAGAAACTTGCCATGGTGACCATGAATTCTGGCAACAGAATGGATCTATGGCTCTGTCCGTCCGTCCGTCCATCCATCCATCCATCCATCCATCCATCCATCCATCCATCCATCCATCCATCCATCTATCTATCTATCTATCTATCTATCTATCTATCTATCTATCTATCTATCTAATTCAACAAGAAGAAGAAGACCCAAAGGGCTGATGCATCAAAAAGGCAGATCAGTGCTGAATTTGAAAAAATAAAATTTATGCCCTGGCAATGCTGAAGCATGCATGGGCAGCCATATATATGGTAATTCTGTTGAACTTGTCCATAATGAGTTTTATGATCTAAGTTGATGAGGATGACTGACCAGGTCTCTTCCTCTTAGAGGGCACCAGATCTCATTACAGATGGTTGTGAGACACCATGGGGTTGCTGGGAATTGAGCTCAGGACCTTTGAAAGAGCAGGCAGTGCTCTTAACGGTTGACTCATCTCTCCAGTCCCAGATCAGTGCTGACCGCCACCATATTGGAGTCAAATGTGAATTAGGGATTTGAGCTATGGATCTGGGAAAGATGGCAGGTGTCAATGGTATGAAGGAGGTAGAGTGGGCGGTGGGTAATAGATACTCCACCCAACTGTGAGTACCTTTCAACTTGCCTTTCCCCTACTTATTTGTTAACATATGATGTCACACAGACGCAGAGGGAGAGGCAACATCTGTCTCTCCCAGGGATGTTCAATCAAACTCGATTTTGTGGCTCTCAGTAAAAGTCAGGCATTAAAATGGGCTTTCATGAGGCTTCACTTTTTTCTTCCCAGCAAACATAAAAGTGAATACTTGACTTATTGAGTTAAACGAAAGTTTCTGGTGCTAATCCTCGGCAGCAGTGCCGACTGGAGAAACCGACATCTATAGACCTAGGCGGCCTTCTCCCATCTCGTGTAGACCCTGTGTCAGTGTTCACAGTGGTAAATGAGTTTCCAGCTCACAGAGCTGCAGATAGGAAAAGCAGTCTGGGTTCATTAAGATGAGGTAGGCAGGATAATTATACAGTGGGAATGTAGCTGTGGGAATTAGTATTTGGGAATCAAGGTTGAGGTTGTGGGGTGTCTGCACGGATCATAGGGACGGAGGAATTGAGGAAAGGAGGCAAAAGGAGGGGAAGGAAGGAATGCACCCCAGCTGTTTCACATTAACGTACACATCTGCAAACATATAGACAGGGAGTTGGCGCGGTGCAGAATGCAGAAGATGATACGTAGATACACACTTAAATGAGAACATTCGCTCTACAGCCTGGATGGCAGTTACAATAAGACTGAATCGTCTTTGAAGCAAGCGGCATGAATATTCAAAGAGAAAAGACAGAACAACCCACACCACAGACATGTATGAGACACTCATTCAAATTAAAACACTCGTCGTGACAGCGTGAGCGGAAGCGAAGCTCCTCCTTGTTCCTCTCCCGTGTTTCAAAAACATTGCGGCAGAAGGCTGAAAATTGAAACCACTTGGGCTTCTTGAATACTGGGGAACCAAATTCTGTGTGGTTTAGCTGTGCATGATGGAAGACAAAGATGTGACAGGAAAGGGTGAAGAAAAAGCAGGTGTGGTAGAAATGGGTGATGCCTTCAGAAACCCCCATGAAGACTCAGTACCTCCCACACCAAGTTGCTTCCAAACCATGACATAAACTGAAACTTTTTGTGTGTGCTCTGCCCTCTATGGAGCCATGGACCCATCTTTGAGTAGGTCTAACTGTTGGTTGGTTAAGTGGAATTCATGATTTTATTGGCAAGGTTAAGGTTAAATTCTGTGATAGGCAACGCTATATTTGTTGTTAAAATTTTAGTGAACAGCAAGCTTTATGAAAGAGAGACACTATTATAATACAATGTCTGTATTATCAATCAGCATCATGTGATGAAATAAAGTATATATCTATGTACCACAAAGTTACCTATCTCTCACTGTGTGTATGGGCAGTTGAAATGTGATAATTATTGTCAATTTTTACTTCTTAGATCAAAGAAAAAGATACATAAACTGCTTAACACTTCAGAATCTGATTTTCCTGAATATAAATCTTCTAGGCATGAGAATATTTTCATATGGGCGATTATGCATTTTTCTAAGGACGGGATTGTGAGTTTGCGCTTTTATAAACCACACAGGTGGGAATTTCTCTTCTCACATACACACAATGAAGGAATCCTCTTTATTGCAGGGCCAGGGAATGAACTCAGGGCCCTGCACATGCTAGATAAGGTCTCTACCATTGAGCCAATACTGGTGATTTCTAATTTCTTTAAAGATCATAAAATTTAGTAGCATGTGGTATTTTTCTTAAGATTTTAGATTCGTACTACCCACTAGGTAAATATAAAATAAGTGAACAAACATAGCCTCTAAGACAGTGTGCCTTGTGTCCAATGGTCCCACACAAAACTGATCTCAAATCACATAAAGCTTGTAGCCAGGATGTATAATGTGAAAAAAAGGAACGTTTTAGGACATACTTTTCCTTGTTTGTGAAGTGGGGAGGTGATAGTACCCACCGTAGGATGGCGGTGTGAAGATGTCAAGGGTTATCATGTAGAAAACTCTTGGGGAAAGGAGTGCACACACGCTCAACATATGTGATGCTGTTGATGGCGGTGCTTTGGGATGCCTACTGTGTGAACTCTTACCAGAGATGTTGAGTAACTTAACTCTTTTTTCTAAGACAGGGTTTCTTTGTAGATTTGGACCCAGTCCTAGAACTAGCTCTTGTAGATCAAGCTGGCCTCAAACTTACAGAGATCTGCCTGCCTCTGCCTCCCGATTACTGGGATTAAAGGCATGTGCCACCACTGCCCAGCTGAGTGACTAAACTCTTAAAACATACGCAGTGGGCTGCATGCACTTTTTTTGGCATACCCCTTTTGGCCTTGCATCATAACTGGGAAGAGTTTCACTATTCAAGAGAGTTTACTAGGTTTGAAAAAACAAGTATATCAGGGCATGAATTAATAAAAGGAGGAGATCTGGTTTAAAGAATCGTGAGGTACATAGTCAAACACTTTAAGGTTTTCATTATTGAGTTTTTGTTGCTGTTCGTTTCATCCAATATAAAAACTTATCTGAGAGAAAGAACCAGACAGAACAAAACTAAAGAGAAATGGAGAAAATGATGTTTAAAATTTATAATGCAAACTTTTCTTTTGTTTATAAAATCATGTTGTTTGATATTGGCCCTGATAACCTATGGAGCTGACTGATGGTCCCAAGAGATCTTCAGTACCAACTCATAGAATAACCAATGTCTTCACTCAAAAGCCTGCAACTATTGGCTTTACAGCTACCAGAGTAGCTTCTGCATAGCAGGCATACTGCGGTGTCTCTGTCATAATGCTTGTCTTCTACCTCTGAATTTAAAAAATAATCAAAATATCCCATATTCCATGCAGTAGTCTTTCTTCTAGGAATATCATGTATATAAATGAGATACTGGTCTGTAGGAGAGAAGGGCTTTGCCAAAGTAGCATTGAGGATTGTGTGATGTGATTTTACTTTTGTGAAAAAAAATTTCAATCCCCCTGGACATTACATTAAAAAAAATTGGGGTCAGAAAGTTGAAAGACTGTAGCTTTGATATCCAGGGCTTAGAATTGTCCTCCTATGCTGGATGTGCCCTCATTTCTAGCTGGGTAGCCTTCTTTAATCCTCTTTGAAGACCCGATTCCTTAGATCAGCCATCTGTATGTTTTTTGGAACAAGGGACCGAGACAAGAAAGGTGTACGATGGGATCACACAGGTTCAGCAGCAGAGCAGACAGTGCTAGCAGAAACACCCAAGGTGCATGCTGGGAGAAGTCACCTTTTCTCCCTTTTCTCCCAGGTCACCCTTCTCGCCTCGAGGACCCGGGAAGCCCTAGGGGAGTGAAAAGTAAACTCAAGTTATCCATTGGTGTGACTGTGGCAAAATCATATCAAAACCAACAAACACTGCCACCACCACCACAGTTCATTGGTCTCAACTCAGATATAAGAAAGAACATGTCAATCTTTAGACTTACAAAGAACAGTAGCACTTAGAAACAATACTTTCTACCATCTCAATGAGCTATGCAAGTAGGGCCCTTGTTTTTTTTTTCTTCTCCTAACAACACAGGAGAAAGAACACACAAATACTAATTTGGGTCCTGGCATATTTACTGACTTGTGTGGGTTTGGGCAACTCACTTACCTCTGCACTTTAGTCACTTGACTATAAAATAAGGTTCATGAGTACCACAAAGCTGTGGTGGATGTTAAATGACGGTGGATGCAAAGTGCCAGATAATACCTGTAGTAGTAGGAGGAGTGGGCTGCATCCCACTGCCCGGCTAGCTTAACCCCCGAAATAACCACACAGAAATTGTATTAATTAAATTACTACCAGGCCCATTATATCTAGTCTCTTCTTGGCCAACTCTCACATCTTGGCCCATTTCTATTAATCTGTGTTCACCACTAGGAAAGATTCAGCATGTCTGACCTGGGGGCTCATGGCGGCTCTCCATGCCTGCCTTCTTTCTCCCAGCATTCAGTTCTCTTTTTCTGCCTATCTAAGTTCTGCCCTATCAAAGGGCCAAGGCAGTTTCTCTATTCAACCAATGAAAGCAACACATAGACAGAAGAACCTCCTACCCCAGATGTTCAATAAATAGCAACTATTGTAACTTCATTACTCACATGGTATGACAAGCAGTGACTGTTCCTTGGGGCATTTACTTTAGACAGTCTGTATTGTTATACAATCTTTTGGCATAAGAGAAAATGTATGTAGAGACTTAACAGCAAAAGAAAGATGAACACTGCATAACAGCTTTGACAAAATGCCATTCCCCAAGGGCAGCACATGAGAGGCAGACTGACTTAATACATAGTTATTTTTTTTCCATAACTGGGTCATATTGATGCTGAGCATCCTTAATTTAGGAAAGGATTTTGAAGTATGACTAACTGACTAACCAGTGTCAGGCTACTAATTTTATTTTAATTATTTTTTCTTTGTTTATTTTGTGCAAATACTAGTGTATTTTATATTGCTATCTATGTGCACTATAATTTTATATATACACACATATATATGGTGTGCATATATGTGTTTGTACATGCATAACACATGCACAGACAAAACATTCTGTATTCTTGGTGTTCCCTGATGATGGAGACCATTGAATATATCTCTTATAATTGGAGGATGTTTGCTGTGTAGATTACTTACATCAAGACCAGGCTCTCCATTTTTACCCTGCCAAAGAACCATAATAGCTACATTAGTGTTCCTAAGTTTCATCAGTAGGTTCTTGTTTAAGGTTGCTCTGGGCATGCAACATTAGTATTAAAAAGATTATGCTAGAATTGTGATAAAGGCTCCTTGATTAGTCAAATTTCTTTAAAAAAATCAAGTGAGAGGACTGTTAGTTGAAGTTATGGGGCATGAGGGATTTAAATTTTTTACTGGGTTAAACAAGTAATTTTGCTCAAATCCTATGCATGGTCTGACTTAGCCGATTATTAAGGAAGTGCAAAACAAAACAAAACAAAAAAATGTTTAGTTGAGTTAAAAAACACACCAACACTAATGAAAAATATAAATCAATGTTCCTTTAGTTTGATAACTCAGTTAGCTTTTCAATTAATGGAGAACCTAAAAACTATTTATCATTAAATATAATTTGAATTTGGCTAGGCAATCACATTAAATATAAGGAGTGTGAACATCACAACTTCAGAAGTCGTTTTACAGTGAGCTTTGTAGGAGAGGAATTCCCAAGAGGGTTGGTCTGACTGTTTCCACAAGAGGCTGACTTCAACACAGCCTGGTGAGAACGTGGGATCAGACTATGCTCCGCCCAAAGTTCCCAACAGCTAAGCTCGTTCCATTAAGTACACTTTGACATCTATTTCAAAGTGAGCACCTCGTTTAGCCCTGAAATGATTGTGAATGAAGTTTGTTAATATGTAAAGTAAGGCAGGTTAAAATCCTAAAGGCAATACATGACACTTTGAGTCCTACCCTGCCCAACTGACTGGAACCATGGTGCGGATCATTTCTGCAGAAACCTGTGGCCTCAGTCTGCTTCTGCAAGGTTCAGAATTTAGAAGACAGAACACTGCCAACCTTCTATGTTCTGAAGGCCATCTGTCCTCTCAGGGATTTAGACAGGTCAGAAATACTGTCACCATGAATAGCAATTCAATTTGGACCATACTTTCCACTTGCAAGATAATTTTTTGCTAATAGTCTATGAGGATAGACAAGGAATAAAGGTTGTTCTAAATGAAACTTTCCCATCCAAGTGATGCGTGTGACCCTTCAAGGGAGTGCCGTTATGGCTGTCCCCTTGGATGGCAAGGGAAGGGTGCCATCTGTCTGACAGAACCTTGCTTTCCTGTTAGTGTTCTTTAGCCCCTTGTCTCTGATCTCCAATCACATGACATGCGTGGGTGTGTCTCTATGTGCAGGGACCATTTGAGACTGAGGATAACCTATCTGTAGTACTGAAGTCCCTGTACTGGTGACTGCTCATTGCATTGCCTTTGCTCCTATAATGAGATTAGTGTGCCCATAGGGAAGGGTTAACCATGTTAGTGGCAAGTCACAGGAGCATGCTGATGGTGGTGACCACTTCATATAAACTCACAGGCAGCCCGTAGGGTCCTCTGGGTCCAGGATCTCCCACAGTTCCTTTCTCTCCCTAAAATGAAAAAAAGAAAAAAAAACAAAACAGAAAGTTCCAATCATACCCGGACCCTTACATCCCCATATAGCTCACACAGAAAGCCACCATGTAAGTGTTCTAACACAATGTCAATGATTCAAACTCCTTTAAGATTGTAGTGACAGTCATCTACCACCGCAGATTGTACTAGATAACCATTAACAGGACAGGAGGAAGCCGCCACTACCAGGTATGCTAAAGAATTCTAACGTGTAGAATGCTCTGCTTGGGTTCCTCTGCATTGGTGGTGGAAAATGTTGATGCTTGTTTTAAGCTGGAGGAGCCTATCCCTCACCCAAATGTTCAGGGATAGCGTTGACTTTGGATTTGATATTTTGGGGATGAGGCACCACACAAACTACATCTATTTTAGACATGAATCCTGTACACATACCCTACAAGTTTATTTTATGCTGTATTTTCTTTTATTGTGCTTCTGTTTCTACTGCAATGTGTCATATGAGGCCTGGGGTAGAATTCCCATCTGTGTTAGTGCTCGAAGGTTTCTGGATTTTAGAGGATTCACAACTTAGCCTGTATTGCCTTCTTCTTCCTTTTTTAAATGTAAGATTTCTTAAAAATCAAGTCTCTCTCCTCGGAGAAGCCCTTCTTTGACTACTCTGGCCGTTTCCACAGCTGTCCGTCACTTCTGGCCCTCACACTCTGTGAGACACACACAGATGTACTGTTATTTTCTGTCTGTGGTTCTCACTTGAATGGCCAAACTGGGGCTCCAGGGACCCCAGGTTTGTCCTATCAGTCATGTTTTAGAATAGTGCTCAGCACATTAGCATATATTAGCTGAATAAATTAACCACATTAGGTCAGACATTGTTATATATATCTTCTTTTCTTTTTTTTTTAAAAATTGAAAATCATCTATGCCTTCAGGGAGTGCCTGGTGGGTAGACATGCAGTTATCTTTACCTACTCTAAGTGTGTGTCTAATAGGGTTATGGTAAGTGATCATTTAGAATGCCTGTGAAGAATCAGGGTTATGGGAGGGGCTCCATGAATAGAAATAGCCTAATACAGATATAGTTTTCATTTTAAGAGTGTTTCTATGCTACTTCCTCCAGATAAAGTGTGTGTTATCATGTAGTGTGAAAGCATCAGGGACAATGGTGATGCTTGCATCAGCACCTCTGTAGAAAGTTCTATCGCCCGACTTTTATTGGGCCATCAGAGAGGCTTAAAGTTTAGTCCGTATTTTTTTCTTTTTTTTAATGTGTGTGGGTAGAAGCCAGGTCTCTCTGAGAACTCTAGCAGCAGAGGCTTAGGATACGCTTTTCTTTCTCTGTTCTCCAGGTTTCCATGTGAACAGACAGCAGGCATTACTAGCATTTTCCTTTTAAATTCAGGGAGTTGGTAAAGTCACTGACACGGTCAACAAAGAGACACACAGACTACAATGAGATCACCAGAGATGGACATCTTTAATAATCTTAGCTTTCACGGTCAACAAAACGACAGCCTACAGAATGGGAAAAGATCTTCACCAACCCCACATCAGACAGAGGTCTGATCTCTAAAATATACAAAAAACTCAGGATATTGGTCATCAAAAGAACAAATAATCTATTAAAAAAATGGAGTACAGACCTAAACAGAGAACTCTCAACAGAGGAATCTAAAATGGCTGAAAGACACTTAAGGAAATGTTCAACATCCTTAGCCATCAGAGAAATGCAAATCAAAACAACTTTGAGATTCCATCTTATACTTGTAAGAATGGCCAAGATCAAAAACACTGACAATTTATGCTGGAGAGGATGTGGGGTAAAGGGAACACTCCTGCATTGCTGGTAAGAGTGCAAGCTGGTGCAGCCCCTTTGGATATCAGTATGTCAATTTCTTAGAAAATTGGCTTCACAGAAGTAAGCTAACTGGACAGTAGACCAGGTCTGGTCTAACCATGACCATGTAATTTCCTTCTTACCTCTCCTCCCTGCCTCTACTGAGAACCTGGGTTGCCTCATTTTTAAAAGGAACACACGTGGCTTAGGTAAACGGAGTAGGCAGTCACAGCAGCACTTGGCTGCAGGCTCTCTCTTCTTGACTGGCCTGCCCCTCATAGCAGAGCATGGTGAGGAGGGGCCCCAGGGAGCCAGTGCTGGTCAAGGAGGCTCTGGGGACACTCAGCTGGAAGTTCCATGGAAGGTGGTTCCCACTAGGATTATTTCCCTTGTGGGGAGCCCTGTCCTTGGCACAAGTCTCCCTGAGTGACACCTCGACCGACAGCTAGGATTTTGGCAGGAAGAAGCAAAGCCCACACTCCTCCTATGGCTTTTTGGTTATATGAAAGAAGCATTTCTCTCTTGTTCAAGCCACATGGAGTTTGGATCTTTCCCTCAGCACCAAAGCACCAACCCCAGCGGTTGCATCTTGAATACTCTCAGAAATGAAATATTAACTCAAGGATTTGAAAGTATAGTGTTTTTCCCCCCTGTATTAAGGCGTTCCAAAAGAACCTTTGACCCTCTCAAACTTAAAACATTACAGGGTTCTAAGGTCAGAGGAAGAATTCAGTATTCTAAACAAAACCACTGGAATGCTTTCAGCTCTGGAGACAGACCCAAAGTGCAAGTGGAGGAGAAAGTGTGTTGTTTAATGTAACAGGTCAAAGAGGGCTCTAGGAGTGGCTTCAAGGGCTCTGCCCTTTACCCAAATGAAGAAATCAGTGGAAGGCAGGGGTGCATTGGGAGCTGCATACCGATGTGTCAGTCATGTATTGAGAAAGCTTGCATGCAAAATGCTTCATTTCCTTTAGGCTGGCCGAATTTCATCCAGGCTCTTAAATTTGCATATCAGTACCACGGACTTATTCTAGAATGCCGGCCTTGCCCATCCTTTCTGCTTTCAAATCAGAAACATCTGCAGGAGCCAGCCTCCAGATGGCACCTCCATTAACGGCGAGAACCACACTACGGTCTGGCTCTCTGTACCGACACACGATCCAGTTTGAGGGGACACAAGTGTGGCACTTCACACCGCGTGCAGCTGGCTTCAGCTATGCATTCACGAATTCTCAGAGACTTCATTTGCTCTGCTGGTTCATTCGGCACCAGCGCAGAGACCTGATACCCTTGAGACGCGGCTAAGCTATCGGAAGTAGCAGCTGATTTACCAAACAGCAAACCCTCTTGAGCCCCAGGGCGCTTTGCCAACAGACCGCCTGAGCTTTGCTGCTCCAATTTTAGGATGGACTGAGTTTCTTCATCCAGTGCCTGGAAATGAATCTTTATTGCCAGCAGGAGACTCTTAGCTTTGAAGTATTTTTAATGAAGCTGATTATCGGAAGTTGTTGGTTTGATCTTAGAAATAACAATAGTGGATTCAGATAATATATTCTCAAGGACTCATCTTTCTAGAACTTTCCTTGGATAAGGCCAGTCTTCACTGGGGGGGGGGGGTAACCCATATATTTGTATTGACTTTGGCCTTGTTCTCTGGCTATTTTTTGCATAGATTTCTCTGCAATATAAATTCTTCAGATTAATGAAGATAGGTGTTTTCTTACTCAGCCATAATGGGGAGGTCTCCACTAGACCCCTCCCCTCAGAGGACAGGGAACCCCATGGAAGAAGAGGCAGAAAGGGTGTAAGAATCAGAGGGGGTGGAGGACACTAAGAATACAAGGCCCTGGAAGTCAACACCAGCAGAGCTCATCTGAAGCCACAGAGACTGTGACAGCATGCACAGGCCTGCACAAAGGTCTTTTGCAAACATATTATGGCTTCCAGCTTAGTGTTCTTATGGGATACTTGAGTATGCAAATGAGCGCGTCTTTGATTCTTGCACCTTCTCTCGGGTGCAAGAGAAGACCTTCTGTTGGTCTGCCTTGTGCAACCTTGATGTGATTGTTTTTGTTTTATCTTATTTTTTATTTTGTTATATTTTAATATCACCTCTCAGAAGCCCCCCTTTTTTTTTTCTAATGAGAGACAGGAGAGGACCTAAGCAGAATACAGGGAGCAGACACCATAATCAGAACATATCATGGTAGAAAAGAATCTTTGTTCTTCAATAAAAGGAAAAGAGAAAACAGTCGCTTCCTCTGCAGCATTATTTATATATCGTGCATATATTTATGATCATTAATAAGAGTCTCTGTGATGATGAATCAATTATAAGGCCATAGTCAACGTAGCAGAGCAGCTGTCAAAGGGGGTTTCTTTAAGTAGAAGTTGTTTCTTCCACTCCCGAAGGATTGCATTGCACACAGTTGCTTCTCATAAGCATTTCTGGCATGTATGAATTTACTTTACAGAACACAGGACTGGGGAATTAGGGGGCATGTTAGAGACATTGTTACTTACCTGCTCCTCTCTTTAAAAATCAAATTATCCCGGACGGATGAAAACTCTCATTTTAAAAAGACCACAAACTTGCACCATGACAACATCATGCAACGCTCACGTTCAGCATCCTTTCCTCATCTCACAGAGTGTGTGGTAGGGAAATTGCTGACAATTCTACACACACACACACACACACACACACACACACACACACACACACACACGAGTTCTCCAAGGTGAAGAAAAGAAAAAGTGGGTGGAAAATCGAGAGAAGGGAAGAGGTTCTAGACACACGAGCAGCTGCTCAGGCTGCTGCACACTTTTGTGTGTCAGATATTCATCTTCCCCGAACGTCTATCTTTTTTTTTTTCCTCCAAAGGATATGGAAGCATAGACTAGAACAGCGAGGTTAGTGAAAGGGTTTCATTTTATACGGCACTGAAATCATTTCCTTATGGCTATAGGAAAACAGGTCATTCTTTAACTCACAAAAGAAAAATGAGAGCACGGGTGACCGTGTGGAGAAGAATATTTAGGTTTTGTAATTTCCTTTGGAAAAATATTAGAATTTACTTGGAATGAATACAGTAGCTTTGTATTAAGATTATCAACCAGAATATGTAGTTCGAGAAATTTTAGCCCCATTGACTTCAACTTTCTGGATGAAGGCCCAATGAAAATATCTTCCTTATGGGTTAAGAAGGACTAATGGGAGCTATTTATTTTAGCTATGTAAATGTATGCATTGTTTTCATTAAGGCAGACTGATTCTGTTTAATACTATATGGTTTTCTTCTTGTAGTCTTACGACTCTGAATAGATCTTTGAATGGGCAATATTTTTATTTAATACTAGATAGTCCCCCATCATTCCTGGACAATGAACAGTTTGAGATCATCTTGAAGCCATGCTTTGTTTCCCTCAGTGCTAAGCTTAAGTGTAATAACCCAAAGAGAGACTTACTCTTTCTCCTTTGGGACCTGCTGGGCCATGGGGTCCTATGGGACCATCTGCACCCTAAAAAAAAAAGATAAAAATAAAATACCATGAGACCAGTGAAAGACAAGGATTACAAGAAGAGAAGTTCTGATTTACTCTGACTTATCTTAGAGAATGATGTCTTCAGATAACTTATCTGATTCTAAAGCACTTTATTCTTGATGGTTTTTCATGCCAGTTATTTTTGAGAAATTCATGCAACAGGGATGAGACATCTAACTGCATGCTTCCACAAAAAGTATACAGAAAATTTCATTCTTATTTATTTTTTATCTGATGAAGCATCTTCATTTTTCTGTCATCTTTTTTTCCAAATTTATTTTTTATTTTGTGTGTATGTGTTGTGAGTACTTGCATGCATGTATGAACATCATGTGTGTGCAGTTTCCATGGAGGCCAGAAGAGGGCACCAGATCCCTGGAGCAGAGTTAGAGCTGTGGTGAGCCACCATGCGGGTGCTGGGAACTGAACCTGGGTCCTCTGCAGGAGAAGTCAGGGCTTGTAATTGCCGAGCCACCTCTCCAGCCCCATGCCTTTATAATCTTAACCAGGAAAGTATTTCTACTGTCTTTTCCCCAAGTCTGTTCTCCACAGTCACTGACACCCATGGTCAAAGCCTCAAAACTTTGCATTTTTTAGCAATTTAAGTGGAAAACATATGAATGAGAATAGTGTTTAACTTTCAGAACATCCTTCTGCAGTTCTATTGGGACAGCAGAGGCTCACGAGGTGGGTTCTAGGCTTTGCACGTCAGGCAGGTCAAGTTACTCGATTGATATAATTGGTTTCTGTGGCAGAAAAGATAATATCTGAAAGAATGTAAGAACTCTGGGGTCCAGTGGAAAAGAATAACTGCCTGAAGAGTTTTAGAACTGAAAATTTTGATTCTTAAAAAAATGTCATAAGGGTTATTTGCTCGATTGTTGGGAAGATCATGCTTAAGCAGTAAGGAGTGCAAAACAGTGTTTGCACATACAAGGGCTATTTCATTTCAGCTTGCCTATCATATTTCCATGGCTGCTCTGGCAGATCATGGATTCTGTTAGAATGCCTGGATAGAAAAAAATTCAGAGTTTCAAATTCATTCTCTTGTTGGTGAATTCTTATTTATCTCAACCACGCACTTACTGTTTCATCTCAAAGTTTACCTCCACAAGGCTTCTAAAGACTGACTGACTATGGCAAACATGTAAAAGCTGAGCTGCCCAAAGCAAAAAAATGATAAAAATGATGGAGACACACGATGCACGTCATGAAAAGGGACTTGGAGGTTCATTTTAAGGAAGAAATAACAATTTTAAGATGGATATAAATATAAAGGAAAAATAAGTTAAAATAAATTCCTTATTTTCCCCATTCTGAGCCTTTGCCACGGGATTACAGGGAAGGTTTTATGAATTGTTTTAGGTTGTTGAGACACCAAAAGCAGCAGGACCTGGACCTGGTGTTCTTCTCTCTTAGCAAACTATCCAGACTTGAACTTCCGAAGATGACCTGGCAGCTCAGCCTATACCTTCGGGGTGCAACCCATTCTCTGTCCCTCTTTCTCACTTCCTACCATCCTTTTCCGCCTTTCCCTAGGCAACCCTTCAGCATCTGAGAAGACCGCAAGGAATGAAGGGGTCTTCCCCGGAGCACCCAATTCACATCCACGAAGCACGTGGGAGCAGGACGCGGGGCTGACTCACCCGGGATCCTGGCTTTCCGTCTAAGCCAGATGCTCCCTGTGTGATGGGGTTGGTGTCAGGGTTGGTGGGGGTGACACGAATGACAAGAACAGAGATTAGTACGAGGCACTGATGAACAAATGCAACACGTCAAGCAACATAATACACAGTAACGGGGTTCTGGGATGAATATCACATTGCTACAAATAGTTAGTTTAAAAAAAAATCACATGACAATACATGCCCCCAGAGGTGATGGCATTTTAGTGACATTTCTACCAGGAAATTCTCATTGAGAAATCTGGCGAGTGAGGTTTACACAGTGGGCTACAAAGTCCTTGGGGCTCGTAGCTATATGGCCACATGAAATTCATCTTCTAAAGACTATTATTTATGATATGTTTCTTTAGCTTCTGAAGAGAAAGTAGTGGAAATCTCTGAAGAAAGGGCGCCAGAACTCTGACTACACTTGCTAACACGGCTTTATGGACGAAAATGTGCTTTACGATATTGGGATAGTTTGATTTTATATGGATGGTATTTATGTTGTCAACCTAAAGTTCACAGTAGTCGCCACTAGAGGGACTTCTAGGAACAAGAAAAAAAATGTGGGCTCAAGTTATTAAGTCCCAGTTTGTCCTTCAGTTTGGTTCAAATAATCTTTATATATCTTTGATGTTTGCATGAGAAAAGCCTTAAAAACAAACTCTTCTCAGATTAATGCATGCTTTTCTTTATTTTCAGTTGAGGGCTACCCATCGGGTGTGTGTGTGATACAATGGTACTTTCTCTGTTTGTTCCAAGAGTAACCCATCCTTCTTAACTAGGCTCTTAGAGAGCAGATCCCCAACACTCGTTACTTTAAAGATACAGACTATGACATGGAACACTTAAGATATTGTGTTAGTGCTTTCAAGTCTCTTGGCCAGGCCGGAGACCTCTTGCTCAGCTTCATACCTCAGGTGTAGTTAATAACAACAACAACAAAAAAAAACAACGAAAGAAAACAAATTGATTCCAGCTGCCAGCAATGCCAACACATACATTTGAGATATTTTTAGTTTTTTTTTTAAAATTTAAAATTTCCTTCAGTATGATTCTGTCATGATCAATGCTATAACTACAAAATAGAGCTTTAGGTAGCAATGATTATGAACAGTAGGCATTGTTACTGCTTAATGATAAGCCCCTTGTGACTTTTTAAAGTCACTATTATAACATTTGAAGATAGATGTTAAAAAGAGATTTATATTGAGCACAGGATTCTGTATCTAACTGGGGTGCAGAACTAATGGCTTTATGATGGTCTTGTGCCTATGATCCATCAATCCAATTGGCACAATTTTACTGAAATTATAACAAAACTTAATACGATTCACTCAGTAAGTAAATGTGTACAATGCACTTGCTGTGTGCGACTTACAAGTCACGGGCTTTTGAGTGAATGTTAGTACTGAATATACAGTACCCGTGGGAATAATGAGATAGGTGACCACCAATATTTTTGATCTCACATCTCAAATATAGAACTATTTTCTGTTATTGATTGTAGGTCATATTTTACAAACGTAACCTACAATATTATTTACTGATCCTTATCTTCATTTACTGAATAAATAATGCATTAAAAGCCCCAAATAAAACCACTACCTTCAATGATAATTTCAAAAAGTGTTTCAAGTGGTTGTGGGAAAACTATTGGCATAAAGTATATGAACGTGTAAAACCCCTTCTCATTATGAATGAAATCTTTACAACTGCCGAATACTTCTTCCCTGCTACCCACTATTGTCCCATGAAGCTCATATCAGGGAATCTCCAAAACGAACAACACAAAACATACAGAACACAATGTGGCTGATTAATGGAAGGAGTCACAGCACTGACCTCGGCAATGGCCAATTGCATACCTGCCACCAACCGAGAGCTACAGTTTCCATAGACTCCAAGAAGATGGAAACAACGGAGGGAGGGTCTTACTGTATTAGGCCATAAAAGTGTTTGGGAGAGATTTGTGAAACGGTAAACATCGCTTTTGAGAAGAGACACTGGCAGACGTTGTCTGTCAGCCCCGCGAGAGCAAGGTTGGCATGTATGGAATTGACGAGTGACGGAACATTTGTGGTGGTGTTTGCTATGGGGTCACCCTGAGACATGAGATCAGGACGTCAGGGAAAGCGAAGCTGGGCTGTGCTCTGCTCTGACATCCTGTTCGAAGGGCAGGACTCCCAACTGTGAGATAGCCACTGAGCAAACCAGCATTGTCACTTAGGGCAGAAAGAAAAATCTGAGATTTGCACTGAAATGGAAAGTTTTCTTTACTTACTGGAAGACCAAGGGGTCCTCTGTCACCCTTTTGACCTGGTTCACCCTTCAATCCTTTAACACCATTTAACCCTGGTTCACCCTAAATGCAAAAGCAAATGCCAATTTTGGTTGCTATCATGGGTGCTTAAGCTGCGAGAGAGGAGACCCAGTCTCCGAAACCCCTGCAGATTCCAGTTTTAGGTGACGGCAGAATGGGGCCAAGCTGGTGGTGCATCAGTTAATCACCTAAGCTAGAGCTTAATAAACTATACAGATGGCAAACAATATTTCAGAAAGCAACGAAACTCAGGAAAGAAATGTGTTGAGTATCACCAGAAGATGTAGAGCTGACGTCATGGATTTTGGAGTTCCACCTCGAGGAACTTAGAGTTGCATTGTTTTGACTTAGCAAATCAGAGACAATCAGAGCGGAGGATGGTGATGGGATCTGTCGGCAAACCCCATTCTGCTGAATTGAAAACTGGAATCTGCAGGGCAGGGTTATAGACAGACATTTTAAGCCTTTAAGCATTTTGCCCAGGAGAATGAACTGAATACAGAGACGCTGACGATGGCAGTGATGCCAGGCTGCAAGTCCCCATTCCCTGACACTGCCAAGTCAGGTCCCTGCGTGGACTGATCAATAGCGTTGACCACAAGTTGACAGTCCCAGAAGAGACTATGAAGATCAGAGAACTTGAATATAGCTTCCCTAACCGTCTGCGCCATGTTAGCAAGAAAGAAATAAGGTTTTAACATGGGGTGACATTACAAGAGCCCAGGGAAGTGGTAAACCCTCTCGACTCAGTTTAGGAAAAAGCCAGGGATATATAACATGCAGATGGCCCGTCAGCAATCACATGTGAGAGACGGAAAGTGTGGGCACAGCACTTCTCACGTGTCTGGAAAACATGGAAAGACTTGTGAAAGGAAGGTGACCTCGCTGTATGAAGGTCACGCTCACATTGGCTGAAGGGATTTGTAAGTTGCGAAGTACTATCCGATCTGCCAGACGGTGAAAACCAGCACACTGCTCATGAAGCACAGAGTCTAGAGCCTTCTAACGGATGCCTAGACGAGAATGCTCGCCAGAAAACTCTGGGAAAACCGAAGTGGATGCTCCCAGGAGGCCATGCTATGTATTTGAACTTCCAGAGACCCCTCCCCCCACCGTCACAGCATAGTAGACTTGAAGATATGAATTTGTAGTGTAACCACAGGCGACCAGGTCTAATCCTGAGGCCACAGTGTCATCGTCAATAACGCACTGGGGGCCAAGGCTTGGTGGTCACTGTTCTAAACTTGAGATTCATGGCTTCGCACGTGAGCACATTTCTAGTGTGTGGTCTTAAGATGATGAGTAGGCAGCGCAGACTTGCGTGAATTTTGTGGCATTACAGCTGACATGCCTCATCCTATTCTAGATTATGACCCATGGGAAGTAAAACACTGGGATGCTGGGTAGCCAAAGCAGGCAGGTACAGCAGTCATGTGTGACAAGTAAGGCCTTCAGTTGACAGAAAACATAGAACTACTGCCACCATAAGGACAGAGAGCTCCTGGCATAGCCCAGGAATTTCATCAAGAGACTTGTAATTTGCAGATTTTTAACATTCCATGTATTTTAAAAACTTCATAGTGATAAGGGCAAAAGCAAAATGAGGAATGGTTTATTTCCAGGTGATAGCATTTAAACTCATTCTGAGTCATGTTGCATAGTGAGCGTTAAACATCTGGATGCTTAAAGGCTTAAAGACTATCAACATTACTTGACAAATAAATAAGACAGGACAGACATGCTTCCGTCATGCTTGCCCGTGACCACCAAGGAAAGAGAAATCAAATAATCAAGGGATTTGCTGGTACCTTTGGTCCAGGAAGTCCATGGGGTCCCTAAAAATGGAAAGCAAAGATTTAATTAAAAACTGACTCACCGCTTCCTTGTGGAAATGAGGATTATATCAGGTATAAAACGAGATGTAAGACAAGAATCTTCTTGTTTGTGCTATAGCCAGAGGCAGGTCAGTGGGATGTTATTTATTACCTACCAAATGTTCCTTCCAGCTCTTGGATTGCTCTGTCATAGGAAATTCATTAAGAGCAATTCTGTCTGTTAAATGTCTAGGAGAGGGGAACGCTGCTGGGGTTTCCATGGTAGAAAAATCAGGCAAAAAGAGAAGTCCTGTTTTGTCGTTACATTACAGGTACATCTCAAATTTCCATTTTATAACCTGGTGGGATGCTTGAGATGATTCATGAATTTTTATGGAATAGAGGTAGTACATAAAAGCCAAGAAAATTTAGGAAAACCAATTCTCTACAGTGTGAGTAGCAAGGAAGAAGAGATCCTTTGTCCTTAAGTCTTCATCTCCAAGGTGTTGAAGAACCGAAAGGCGACAGGAAGATGGCAGCCAAGCCTGGAAATCTGGAGAGTTGTTCATCTAACTAAAGATCAAAGAGGGCGCAGCGTTATGGTTTGGATTGCATTTATTGTTACAGAAATGAATCCTGTAAGGCCCTTCTGATAGTTGTTTATCAAAGAAAGGAGGCCATAATGAATGTATGAATCAGGATAAGAAGAAAGTTGTTTGGCAGAAAATACAAATATAGAAACTAATTATCAATTTAAATTAACTGAAGGTTACTGTGGATTGCTTTGAACTTTGAAAGAGATTCTAATAAGCTATTTGGGGAGATGCATATTTACTTATCCACCAGTGAAATAACATAGAGGGAAAAATAGCTGACCATGTTCCCTGAGCTATTTGTTACATCTGTCTACATTCGAGTAATGTTTTCCCTTTTGATAAGTTGCGGATAAATGTTTCCAGGAAATGGGTTCTTATTAGTGAGTATTCTTATCTCAGGTTAATAATGGTCTAAAATTCCTTTGAGCTAATTAACCTTATCATTTGAACAGGATGTAGCCTTCTTAAATTTTAGCCTCTAACTTAAAGTGAAAAGAATATAAAAAGGCAAAAATCTGCCACTTGATTAATTCTTAATGTACTCTTTGGTGTTAAGGGAGGAAGGTTAATGGAAGTTGTTGACCAAAGAAAGGAAGCAGTGAGCGAGACCTGGGTGAGCAGGCCACACTGTGGCTGGGATCCTACCCACGATGCTCTCTCGAGAGCGCGGTTGGAGTGGAGAGTGGCCACACTTGCTTTCGTCTCCATTATTGATGTCTTCCGGTTTATGAGGACACCCGAGAGACGGGTGTAACGCTATAGCCTGCCTTGTTCCTCGCCGCGGTCAAAAGCACTCGAAGCACTCTGCTGCCCACATTCAGGCCTAAGCACAACTGTGGTCCTCCAGCACTTAGCGAGTCACACTTGCTACATAGCTGCCTTTCCCACTGGCAGCTCTACGGGGTCAGGAATGCTGCTTCCCCTGCCCACTGGGAGACAACTGCAGCAAACACGGCCTGGCTCCATGAATCACCAGAAGAGTCATTAACACGGAAGGAGAAAGCTGCAACACTCTACGTTATCTGTGGAAGCCAGCTTCTGCCTTTATCGCAGTTTTTGGACAAATGTTCTAGTTGGAGAGTTCAGGGAAGGTTCTCAAGCGTCAAAGCTGTTTGGAAACCCTCTTCACTGGCTCGTTAGTGCCTTTACTTGCTATTAACAGCCTACAGCAGTGACTGGATAAGACCGTTTTGCATGTTCGTGCAGCATTGGAGGAAAGCTTGCCAGACCCGTCTCTCCTCGGTGCTTCCTCTTTCTAACACATGTGTTTAGGGGAATGAAAGACAGCGCTGTAAAGCGGTCAAAGCACCTCGCTTCTTCTGCCCATTCCCCAGAGAGCAGTGCCAAACAAAAGCCGGCGGTGTTCATCTTTTCTCCAGTTGCACGCGCGCATAGAAATGAGCACATTCCAGGGAGAAAAAAAAAACTTACCATGGGGCCAGGCGGGCCATGGGGACCTGGAGGGCCTGGTGGGCCTATGATCTGTGTGTCCAAAGAAGAAACACGGGTGTGGTTACTTCATATCGATAAGGCAGTACAGCGTGGGTCCTGGTCTAGGGCTCTGCTAATGCCATCAATAGTCACAAAGTAGAAAGGACCCTTCGAGGGGAGCTGGGCTTGATTCTCTGGCTTTAGAAACTCCTCCACAAGAATCAAATAACTTCAAATACTACAGTTGTTCTACAAAAACCCAGAGTAAATCAAAACAATATTAAAAGAAAAGGAAGCAACTGATTATTGAGAAATGCTATAATGCTGCAACCGCTATTAAACCATCGGTTATTTCACTAAGCACAAATGGGACTCTGGAGAAAAAGAGAATGCAAGTTCTTATTTCACGAGGCTTTAACTATAAGCATTAAGGGAAACCCATTGATTTTTTTTCTTTCTCCCAAGAGCTCTGAAAAACTGCTTCTAACTCAAACTCCTGAGATACACTGTCTCTTACTGTACAAGACCAACATGTATCACGTATAGTTCGATCCACCAAGTGAATGACTATTTCTATTACCTATTAGGCGTCTGGCACAGGGGGAGCTAGGCAAACAATAATCCCATGTGAAGGGTCTGCCCCATAGACTTACAGAAGGACCCTGAGGCCCCGGCAACCCAGAGTCTCCTTTCTCTCCTTTTACTCCATTGGCACCCTACAAATAACCAGGAAGCAGATTTAGCAGGAAAGTTATTTCCAAGGTCTAACAGACAACTGGACTTTAGCTGCCCTGAATTTTTATATTCTGCAGATCATACATAAGAAGTTTTATCTCCACGCACTTTAGTCCAAAGCGGTAAATATACTAAAATCCCTAGGATTATGAGTGCTATATAAAGCAAAATATAAAGTAAATAGAAACTAGGCTGAACCTGATTTTACAGTATTAAATATACAGGATTATAAATGTTATTTTTTTTTACGGTGTGCTCACTTTAAATAGCAAAGGTGAGACTTTGGTTCCACTGACATTTATCTATAGTTTCTTCTTTAAAAACAGATCGAAGATGCAGGCCTGGTGGTACAGGCCTGAGATCTTGCTTACTAGGAAGACTGAGACAGAAAGATCAACTATTCAAGGCTGGCCTACGTTTCAGAGTGTGTTCAAGGCAGTCTATGCAACTTTTTAACATAGAAAGTTAAAACAAAAGGATTCGAGATATAGCTCAGTGGTGGAGGGGTTCGGTTGGCAAATAAGGGGACCTAGGTTCAATCCTCAGTATCGGGCATAGGGTGGGGGAGGGTAGAGGGTAGGGAAACCTCTCTACTTTTTTTTTCTTATATTTTTCTATATTTCCCTAAAGTTTCAGAGAAACAGTAAGTCAGGGGAAATAAGCACTACCCCAAAGTATAGACACACAGACTAATCTATTCTTTAATGGTTCTAAAGTTTTGAGATTGTGTGCTTTTTTTTATTTCTTTACTGTTGGTTACTTTATGATAATTACTTGACTATACATATTAAACTCAAATGGCCAATTCTATTTGTTTTATTACCATCTAAAGAAAATGATTCAGGGAAGAAACCATTTACTTTTTAATTAATGTGGTTATACTTTAAAATTTTAGTGTGCCACTTGGAAAAACTAAGCAACAATACTTCGTTATTTCAAAAATGAAACCAGTTTGGAAACCCCTGGCTGGGAGTGCAGTTGAATAAACAATTCTTTCCTAGTCATTTATTTTAACCAGAGCGCATAGAGTGTGACATACCGGCAATCCAGGGAGTCCGATTCCTCCTTTTTCACCTGGCATCCCTGGGTCCCCCACATCTCCCTTGGCGCCTTTGAGACCCTATAAGTGATAGAGTTGGCAGGTGAGAAGCATAGTGACAACCTGATAGGCAGATCCTGGGGCCAATGGGATTCCAGATAAATCTGTCAAGCAGCAGGTGCAAGCTGAGAGGCCAATGCCTTTTGTTTTCTGGTATTCTTCTTACAGCCCGCTACACTGGATCAATCAATATTTTCCCATGTAACAAACAGGATTACGTTCTAGAGACCGCTTAAATACAAAAAACATGAACTCAAGATTTGGCGCAATTTCTCCTGGTTTCATAAATTTGCAAGACAACTAATTATATTCTACTAGTCCAGAAGACGATGTCATGACCGTAATTCTTAGCAGTACAGAAGGCATGTGGACCAGGACTTAGTGTTGTTATAGGAACAAAGATCCAAGTAAAGGTTCCCGTTTCCACACAGCCCTTCCCACCTCTCTATTGCATGCATAAGTTCTCTCTGCCGTCAGTTTCTAGCACCCGTGTGCAATCAATGCTTTAGCACACGCAGCTTGCTCAGTGTTCCTGTGCGGTTCTCATGACATCTCTACATGGCGAGCCAAATGCGGTTACTATTCTTTTAGAATGAGGGGATAGATGTGTGGGTTTTGAATGCTAACAAATGTGAGTTATGGAACCCTAACACTCTTAATATTTTTCAGCATTGTCGTCTGGGCAGCTTTGTGGCAATCTGACCAGATGGTCGTGGTTACCAAGGTAGGGGATTCACAAGCTGCACAGGCCTGTTCATCTTAGGAACAAGAACACATATTAATTTGTTAACCAGCTGTATACTGAGTTTATACTCAGAATCACATACTGGGGAAGTGGGGCAGTACCAACAAAGGTAAAAATATCTGGCTGGTGTATCAGCAAGGTCAGTTGGCTTTAGGGATCTTGTGACAGGGAAAAGCAACAAGGCCAAACCAAAAGACTTAGCGGGAGAACAGGATCTTGCAAGGACCATAGGAAAAAAAAATCTAGCTACTGTATATATTGTATATTTTGGTACATTCAGTTTGTCATTATACAAGTCTAATTTGTTATCTTTAATTACTAACAATGGGTAAAGGTTATTGTTCATGTGACCTCTGATTGCCATGGCAAATTGACTAAATTACCCTTCCTGTAATATTTGTTTAATGTGAAATTATATGACTTCAATATCCAGCTCTGTTATTAAAAATAACTATTCTCCTAAAGTTAAGTATTTATTTCATCTCATACTTTCTCCTGAAGAGTATATGGTTGACTTTATCAAGTATATCAAGAATTCCTTTGATTTCTTATCCACTAATTCAAGGTATTTCTTAAATATATTCAACTGCATTTTTTCCCATTCTGTGTGTGGGCCTGAATATGACGATGGGCATCGCATGTGTGTTGGTGTCTGTGGAGGCCAGAGGGGGACGCCTGACACCCTGGAATTAGAGTGACAGGTGGTTGCAAGCTGCCTGGTGTGGATGTGGGGAACTGAACCCAGGTCCTCTGCAAGAGCAATGAATGCTTTCAACTAGCAAGCCATCTTTCCATCCCTGGAGCCATTTTTTGAGAAAACAATGGAAGTCCATATTACCTCAAAGATTTTGAAACTAATCCTTGTGGTCTGATTCCTAATGCTGTCTGCATTCTCTTAGCAAAATCCTTAAAAGGCAGGGATGCCAAGCCGCAGCCGACATTGCCAAGTCCAGCCTAGGGACTGATTTTATTTATGTTGAATTTAAAAAGTAAGACATGTTTAAAGAAAAGGACTCATGAAAGAGATAATATGCACCCACAAAACCTAAAGTATTTATATCACATTTTATAGAAACTTTATCAGCCTCTGGGTGGAGGACACTCTGAAAGACACTGCCATGGTGGGCTAAGCTACAGTGCTTCACTTTTGTCTGATTTTTTTTAAAAGCTCTAGAAAGTCAGGGGAAATCACTAAATAGAAAAAGGAGACATTCTCATATGACTGTAGATAAGCAATGCTATTATTTGTAAAAACCATGGCCATTGATTTTTGATATTGAATTGCTTATATTCACTAAAAAAAAGAAACCCAAAGTCAAACCTGAAGCTGTTCTTACTAATGTAGTGATTTCAGAGTCTAGTTACTAGACTCTTTTGAGGCAAATTGACAGGTCAGCAGTATCAAGCACAAAGCAAGAGTAACACATGGCTTTACATTTCTACCAACAACATTTTTATCTAATTTAGAACCAGTTGTACTTTTGGCTTTCAAGTGGAACAAAAGATGGAAAAAAGAGAGGGCAAGCATTATCTATCAAAAGACATGACTTTTGACTTTAAATCTATAGTAAAAGTAGTGATCACTAATGGTGCTTTATATAACCGTATAGATCTTGGAAAATTACCTGTTCTCCATCAACTCCGGGAATTCCTGGAGATCCTTGCTCACCCTGTCAAAATAAAAAGCAAGAACTTGCCTGCATTTATCATTGCTACAGAAGTCACGCTAGTTGGTAAAAGCACAGTTTGACTTCCAGCGAATGCATTTTAACCCAAGAACATGCTGGTACAGTACATATATCTACGCTAAGTGAAGGGATGATCTTTGAGAACTGTGTGTAATAATACTTTTGGTAGCAAGTAGCGACTGTCTTCACCTTTCTTCCAGTGCCCCATTGGTTATATACAATTTAAAATGGCTGCCCACATCGTACAGCAACACTTCTATGACTGTGTTATTATTTTTTCCCATAAGGGAGGAATCAGTATGGATTCTCTAACTTGCAGTAACCATCAAAATGTAACAGTCAAACCAAGAAAGACCAAAAGGCAAAGTCTGGCAAATTTATAGCAATATTTTAACTGGCATAATGTGACGCGCTCGTAATGACTGTGAGTGTGCCTGGCCCAGAGAAGCCCCACTGGGGGAAGGATCTAATAAATCAGATATCTTAATCCCCATGAAGTAAACTTCAGACCCTTTGCATTTCTTATACTCTGCTAGAAATGAAATAAATGAACTTTTAATAGTATGATTTATTAGAATGTTGGACAAACTCAGAATTCGGAGATTTATTTTTTCTTAAATGGGAGATGTTTAACTTAAAGCAAATCTAAACAACATGCTAGAGATTATTTAAACAATACATGTTTAGTCATTTTTTTCTTTCAGATTTGAAGGGTAACAGAGTAAACACCCTTTGAAAGGGAAGACATTTTTTATATCAATTACCTATCCATGTGGATGGTATTACAAGCCCCAATTTACCCTGTGCTAAGTGTGAAGACAGTTCTGGGTGTGAGCAAGTCCCTCACGGAGGGGTTTTCCCAGGTGCAGCCCTGAGGCTGTTTTCTAGGAAGGCTTTTTTGGTAATAGTGTAAAACCACAGCGTTCCATCCGCTAAAGTTCCCTTTCCTGGGGAAAAAAAAAACCTTTAAGAGTTGTAGGCCACAGCATGAAACCCGAGCTTTCCCAGTGTTTAAGGAAGGCAGGATCTTGTGGTTTCAAAGCAATGAAATAAAAAAAGGCCTTTCTTTTTTTTTTCGGATTTCCGGTTCTTTGTGGCAGTAGCAAAGTTTATTTTGCCACAAACAAGTCTGCTGAGGTTGGATGCACCCGGCTGAGCCCCAGCTTCATTCTCAGTCTGGATATCTGTCAACACTCTAGTCCAATCGCTATAGCTTTGCTGAACTGTTACCTTTACACATGTGGGCCAGGGAGGCTAAAAGAACAAGATTCCTAAGTCTTCCATCACTCAAAGAGGGTTTGTAAGAGTTTTTTTTTCATGTGTGAAAAATGAAAACACCTTTTATTTGACACTGGAAGGAGAAATACCAGGTGACTAGACTATACCGCCAGTCTGAGACGGCGAGTCCGGAACTAGGGGTAAGTCCTATCTATGCTCACCTCAAGGTATGCTGCGCTGTCTCAGAGTAGCAGACACGCCCACCTCAGGCACCCCAACTTTCTCAAGAAGGGGTCATGGGAAGTATAAAGGCCTGTCATGCCACATGATATTAGTGCTAAGACACGGGGATGGGCGGGCTGGAGAAGTGGCAGGTAGCGGACAGGAACTGGAAGCCTCTCTGTTACCACATGTACTGATTTCCAGATGGTTACCCTCTCCCCGTCTTTCTTCAGGTTCCCCTCAAACCCATCTTGGACTTCCAGACTTAGAGGGCATTCCTATGCATATCCACCCCGCAGACTCTTTTTACAAAAAGATTTATTTTTATGTGTATTTTTGCCTGCATGAATGTCTTTGTGCCGTGTGTGCCCCTGGGGTTCTCAGAGGTCAGGAGAGAGTGTCAGACACCCTGAGACTAGAGTTATAGATGGCTGTGAGCCACCATTGGGTGCTGGGAATGGAATCTGGGTTCTCTGCATAGAGCAGTCGATGCTCTTAGCCATTGAGCCATCATACCCTAGCCCTCACCCCACACACTTTTAATCAGAGCGTTTCCTCTATTAGCAACCATGCCTTTAGCAGCCTGTCTCACATTCTGGGTTCTATGTTCATAATGAAACCTCTTACTGGTATATTGCAGGTTCATATAGCAGGTTCAAAACCATACCACAGAGTGAAGGCTCATAATTACTTCCTGGGCAACTGAACTAACAAGTGATCATAAGCAGGGAGATGGAAGGTTTAAGTGAGACAGCTTTTTTAGCTGGGTAGCCCTTTTCATTTCCTTAAATCAAAACATGGCTGCCTTTGCTAGGCCTCAGTGCTGCGGAGATATCTTAGAAACCTTGTGGGAAATGAAGTATGTATTTAGCTTTGGGGAAAATTCTGCTTCTTGAGATTTAGTTATGAGAAGAGATGAAGCAAGAAATTTCATCGGGTTTGATGCTACACGAAGGACCAGAGAGTCGCCAGGACTCCTTCTACGTCTAGCCCAGATGAATAGTGTTAGTCTTCTGCTGCCACTTTAAGAACTAACCACGCCCACCCCAGCCACTTTTGGACCTCCCCTACAGCCATCTTCTCTCTCTCTCTGGTGTATGTGTGTGTGTGTGTGTGTGTGTGTGTGTGTGTGTGTGTGTATGTATGTATATGTGTCTTTGTTCTCTTTATGTTTGTTTATGTTTTTCTTTCTTTAAGTAATAAATGTCTAGCTTTAAGTATAGCCTTATGTCTATTTACTCCGCCGTCCACTGTATTCAGCTGCCTGACTCTGCCGCTCACCTGGGCACCCTGACTCCCTGGTCGCATGGCACTGCCACTTGCAGCTGCTCCGCGAGCTGCCCGGGACATTCCATCATCATATTCTTTTAAAAGGAACAATAAATAGACTCTTAAGGAAAGGGATCCAGGCAGAAAGCTCATCAGAATGACCTATCTGGCCTACTTGGTGCTGTGCTTTCAGGGACAAGACTATGTAGAGAACTAGCTAGAAAGTTCCATATCATACATTAATGTTATATGTGAAACATGATTCTGTTACACAAAAAAAATATTTTGGTAATTAGGACCTATGCCCCGAATATATCTCACAAGGATAAGAATCTCAGAAATAGTTTATTTTATAGTCTTTCAATAGAGAAATAAACTTCTTTAACATCGGACATTTATTTTTAAGCATCCAGAGAAAGCACAAAAGCTGACATGTGCATGAATGTGTGTGTGTGTGTGTGTGTGTGTGTGTGTGTGTGTGCGTGTGTGTATGACAGGCCCAGCAAATAAACCAACCTAAGAAGCATACATAAAAAATGAATTTCGAAACCACTTGAATCTCCTACAAGAATCCAATGACGAAAGTCGTATTTCAACACGCGTAGCTCAGCTCTGCAAAAGCCAGAGTCCCTGGACATGTGTTAATTGATCAAACATGGTTGAACAGTGGAGCTTTAGTTTGGGGGAGGGGTGTGGGTAAAGCTAATACCACCAACAAAGCTGATGTCTAATCAAGGACGTTTCAGACTGCGTTGTTTGCAGCCATTGCACTTCATTCGACAAAACGTGTGGCAGAAAGTCTGAATGCATGTAACACAGAGAAGGCGTGTAAAATGTCTCAAGAATGACACCTAAACCTGCCAGTCATTTACGAATGCATCACGGGAGGGCTCCCCTTGTTCTCCTGTTACAAAAGAATTGGAAAAAGGTCTTTCTTAGTGGCAAGAGTAAACGCCCATCAATCCTCACTCGTTTGAATATTTGTCCTTTGCCCTAGGACATGTGCTTCTTTACCTTTATAATTTCTGTGAAACGTGGCCTTTCCTTGTTTAATACTCTGTACTTTCTCAGTGTCCTTCCCTAAATCTGTGCCATTCCATTTCTCTGCCTCTTCCCTCATTTTCCCTCCTTCCTTTGGAGCTCTCCTTCCTCCTTTAGTGGAGACTCCAGTACTGTTTCTTTGGCCTCTCAAACAGGTTTCTGGCCTCGCTTCTCTAGTAATTTGGAAGACATATTTTATAAAGGCATACATTCTTAAATAAATAAAACGGTGTAAAATAAAGTAAAAATGTCATCTCTGCACTGTATGTGATAGAGACAAGTAAGGAAGGATTAACCTTTGGCCCTTGTAGTCCTTGAGGTCCAGGAGGTCCAGGGGGGCCCTGAATCAAGACAAGACATAGTTGAAAAACATATCAAATATACATGTTAAAATTTCAGGCTTTAAAAACAACAAGCACACCACACAGCCCCAACATTTCTATCTTCATCAGATATGCCCAGATACTGATTTTCAGTGGGTAATATTTCATCAGTTTCAAGATGATAACAATTGCCAATCTGAGTTCTGAACTATCGGCACACTCTCAAGTCACCATACTACAGAAAAAGCTTTGGATTTGTCAAGACAGTTGAATTTGCTGCCCTCTGTTCTGCCCACTTGTGACTGATCTGATGTCACCTTCCACCCTTAGCCATCTACTTCAAAGGCTTTGATTTCCTATCTTTTCTTTCTTTCTTTTTCTTTCTTTCTTTCTTTCTTTCTTTCTTTCTTTCTTTCTTTCTTTCTTTCTTCCTTCCTTCCTTTCTTTCCCTCTCTCTCCCCCTCTCTCCCTCTCTCTCCCCCCTCTCTCACTCTTTCTTTCTCTCCCTTCCTTCCTTTCTTCCTTCTTTTTTTCTTTCCTTCCCATTTCTCCCTCCCTCCTTCCCCCTTTCTCTTTCTTTATGTAGTCCTGGCTGTCCTAGAATGCTATGTAGACCAGGCTGGCTTTGCTCTTACAGAGATCAGCTGTCACTGGGTCAAGAGTGCTGGGATTAAGGGTGTGCACCACCATGCTCTGCCAAAGCTTTGATTTCTAAGCCACAAAAGATCAAACTACCTTATTCACAGGAAGTTAAAGTCTTAGAAAATGTAATTTTTTTGGACTTTCCCACAGAACAGTCAGTAATTTAACTATGTCAAATGTTTCAAAAAGGTTAATAACATAAAGTAAACACCAGATCAAACCAATTGCTACATTAGTACTATCTTGACCTGCATGCATCCGTACTAAATTCAAAGTCACGAACCACAGAGATCATGCAAAAGGAGTTACCGTGACAGTTAAGGTGGTAATCCTCTGTTGGGAAAATAGGTCAACAAAGACAAGAGTTACCTATTTTGTGTGTCAAAATAAAGTGACAGATTTCTGAAAAAAAAATTCACTTCTAAAATATATTTTTGGCAAGTCAAATGTCTTTTAAATGACAGAGAAGCTACAGCAAAGATAATATCCTATCTTCAATACAGCATACCTGTAAAGGGTTTGGAAACATTCTTAGAATTTTATTTTAGAAATTATAAGAAAACAAGGCATAAAATTTTTCATTTGCCTGATTTTTTAAAATTGACATAATTGAAAATTTATATAGTTAAGTACATATAGTATATATGAGTATATATAAGTATACAGCAGTGCTAAAGGTTGGTCATTCTGATTGTGAACTGTGAAATTTGCTATTGGTAAAAGCTCCATTCTAGATAGGATTCGAGTAGGGAAAAGAAAAATATCTTTCTTCTCTTACTCTGTTGTTCACTTTTCACGTTATAATTGACCCCTCCCTATGTTCTATAACCGAAGAAACTGACATAGAACTAATCTAGTTTGTTGAAGTGCTAAATCCTTTAACAAAATATATTGTCTCAAAGCATGGGATTCTAAAACATGATTCCTATTCTGTGATTTTGGTTATGTATTTAATATTTTATCATTTATATTTTGTGCCAAGAGCTCCACATGACTTATTGAAACAACAGAAAGGAGTTATTTCTCATTCAGGGCTTTTGGTTACAGAGAGGCATTGTCTGGTGATATGTAAACCTGAGGGACAGTTTTAATACCACAATTTTGCGTTCCAATCTCTGATTCAAACCTTTGGTGCCATTTTTATTATTGTTGCATAAAATTAACTTTCACATTTTCTATTTCACTCTAAATATTTTGATGATTCTTTAGTGACGTAGTCCCTAATGTCTGTTTGAAAACCCTGTGCTTATATATGTGCTAATGACTCAAGTTTGTATTGTATGATAATAGCAACCAATGTGATTACAGTTTTAGAACATGCAGTAAAAAAGTTTGATGTTTCTGAGACAAAGGCAAAATGTCAATAAACTCACAGCAAGTTTATATCTACCCACAATTTGATGTCATCAGATGCATACAATACAAAGTAATGCTTATGCTGTTTTAAAGAGGTTTCTCTTGACACAACAATTGGATTTATAGCCATGAGAATGCTGTTTTGCTCCTAGGATGTAAAAGAGTCATTTACCAAAAAAAGGAAATTATAGAGTAAAAGGAATTTCTTCACCATTGCCCTTCAATCATGTATTCTATTTTTAACTAGAAAGCAGAATCACAAAATTTTATGAAGGTCAGCAGTTTTACAATTTGAATTCTCTCAGATTGCCTAACAGGGTCATATAAATTCACATCCTTTCATAGATAAACACATCTCACTTGTCCTTTCTCTTTCAAATGTTAATGTTAACAACATTTAAAAGAAATAATGAGTTGCATAATGAAAGAATATCATTAGTGGCAAATGAGCTACTGGAGGAAGCGGAAATGATGTACCAACAGCTGCTTGCGAGCCCTCAACATGGCGAAGGTTCCATCATAGCTCAGAAGGGAGCAATGGTCACAAAAGCCAGCTAAGTTCACCAGCACACGACTTTGACCTCCTCCTGGAAGCAGCCATGTGAAGCTCACAGAGTCGTTCTGTGAGGTTGGCGCCAACGTTAAGGCTACATCATCCCAGCAGGACTCCCTTGTGAACACGAGTAATGATTTGAAAACCAGAATTTTAGGAAGAGATGGAGAAAGACATGATATTCTGGGGAGACATGGTCTGAGATGGGAGGTGGGAGCTAATCGTAAATGTCCATCTTGTGCTTTATGGCTCATTTTGGGACGTTTGTATGCAAATCCTGCCCAGATTATAGGCTATTCTTCACTTGTCGTAATGATGGGAGCTTAAACTTCCCTTTACAGAAGCAGACCATTACAGAAAGCCACAACTCATCAAACTGCAGAGACCAAGTGACCATCCTGGTGGCCCAGTCCCGACTGATACATATAGAACCCAATTCTTTCACTTTAAGGCTCAGCGAGCAAATATTGACGAAGAGGGGACAGAAAGATTCTGAGAGGCAGAGGCCCTGGAAGCCTTCTGTGGAACTATTCCTTCCAGCTCTGACAGGGAAGCAACACCTGTGAGATTTCAACAGCCTGGCTACCTGAACAAGACCTGAGCAATTCCAATAGTTGACAGCCCACTGAAGAAGGGAGAGAAATCCCAGGGGCCTCCTCTCCCAGATGAGGCAGGCAATGATCAACTTTCAAGAGAGTAAGAGTTAGCATTCCCCAGGGATACACCCCTGCTGTGGGACAATCTTTGTACAGTGTAAACATGCATTACTCTCATTGGCTAATAAAGAGCTGACTCCTATAGCTGGGAAGGGTGAGACTGGGTGAAAGAGCCGCCAGCCTGGGACGCCGAAGAAGAAGGGTGGAGTCTCAGGAGTTGTGAGCAAGGTGCCGAGGAAGACAGAGACAAACATGGCATACTGAGATAATGAGATATGTGATAGAACATAGACAGAAATAAGGGTGAATTAAAGTTGTAAGAATTAGTAACAAGTCCAAACTACTGGCTGAGTATTTATAATTATTGTTAAATCTCTGTGGTTACTTGGGAGTGGCTAATGGGACAGAGCTGACTGGTGATCCCAACAGAAAACCATTGTGAGTGTGTGTGGGGGGGATATAGACAGAGTTATCTTATACCAAGGGATGAACAGGCTGTATTTATAGTCATTCCTTTACAGGTAACAATAATGGTTAAAAAGAAGAGGAGGCCATCAATTTGGGAGGATATAAGAGGGGCTGGGGAAAGAGAAGAAGGGGGAAATGATGTCAGTGTCTTTTAAGTATATAAAAAGAATGATCATAGTTGTGGGTAAAAACTCTTTAAATCTGACCTAGGAAAAGCTGTTTTATTGTTAATTGTGAATCTGGAGCCACCTGGAACCAACACAAAAGGCTAAGGCAGTGCTTACGCAAACCACATTATCTTTTCTTTCCACGGACCAACCTAATCTAACCATCTTTCCAACAGAATAGACACAGAGGAGTGATTTGGAGACAAGAACATAGATAGCACATGTTGGTGTGGGAAATGTGGACGTTTCCCTGTGGGGAAGATGAGACTGGGAAATCTGGGGAGCTGGGCAGGGCAAGAAGCTGGGCCAGAGCAGGTGAGGTAAATTCTCTTTTATGTTGCTTGGTGTCAAAAAGAAAAATCATGAGATGTGTTAGGTCTTTATTTTACGCCATGACTTCAGCTTCAGTCAAAAGGATGCGATCAGCAGTTTGTTATGAGTATAAATTTTCTCATTCAACGACAAGTGAATGGATGAAAATTATAAATACTAAATTCAGAATGCCAAATATCTTAGGTACATAATACCCATAGTGCTTCAACTATTTTATCTCCCACACTGGATACCGGCTACAGAGAAGTATCCAATTAAACTAGTATTGATATTTTTTTCATAATCGGAACTATTTCATAGAATTACATAGTTCTAGTGTGAAATTGCAATGGTAATACATTCATACCCATGCTGTCATTCTAGAGTGTTAGACAAAATGTTTTTTTAAAGGGCACAATAATAAAAATAAGCATCATTCATCATTGGTTAGAAATTGGGGCGCATAAATGTTTATCAGTTCTTCCTCTAATGCCTTTCTGACTTAATTGATTGATCTCATCAAAGACTCTTAATCCACTAGAGTACTATGTCAGGAGGATGATGAACAAATAGACCTCAACTGAGAAATGACTCTAAATTCTTTATAAATACAGCATATGGTTGACCCAACTGTAATATATCATGAGGTTTGGAGACAGTATAAAGTCATTGACGATGATGGATATTAACTGGATACTGTTTACAGTCGCATAGAACGTGAGATGGGAAAAATAAAAGACCCTGGAGGTGTGTATCCATCCATTTCAAGGAACAGCTGTCAGATGTCTTTTCCAAAATGTACAGTGCTTTCGGGAACTTCAGAAAAAGGCATTCAGGAGCTCTTAAAACCACCCTAAAGACAACACTGGATTTTATGAGCTCTTACATTTTGCAGACAAGGTTAGTGAAGCGTAGATATAGTGATTGCCCTAAGATGACCCCACTCCTAAGTGGTAGAGGGAAGAGTGAAACAGAAATGTCTGCTTCCGTGTAAGTGTAGCCCATATGCCCCTTCATGCAAAAAATGCTTTCAAAACCCCTCAAAACATTGTAGAAAATGCCAGTAATATGGGAGCATTTCTTGGAAGAGTAGAAAGTGGGTGCCCTTGTGATAGCTTAGATGAGAAATGTCCCCCCATGGCCTGATGTATTTGAATGTTTGGTCCCCAGTTGGTGGCACTATATGGGAAGGTTAAAGAACCTTTCCTAATGGTGGAGCCTTTAGGAGGAAGTACATCACTAGAGGAGGGCTTTGAGGGTTTATAGCTCAGCCCAGCCCACCTGCATCCCTGTTCTCCCTCTCATTCCTGGGAATGGACACAACACTAACAGCCATTGTCCTGCTCTTCCATACCATCATTGCTTTCACCATTTTTACCATGTTGCTCTATCATGATGGATACCATCCCACTGGAACTATAAGCTAAAAGTTTCCCTCTAAGCTTTTTTTTGGGGTGGGGCAGGTTGTCTGCACAGCACAGAAAGTAACCAGAGCACCTTTTCCAGGTGGAGACAAGACCTATAGGACAATGGAAGTCGTTTTGGTGAAATGTATAACTTTGCTAATAAATTTTGAGAGCTGTCCCTGTTTTCCTATGTAAATAAGAATTTTGAAAACATGTGGGTCCAAAAAAGCCTGCTTGTTCCTTGTCTCCGACCCTCCATATATAATTACCAACTTGTAGGGGGAAAGGGAAACATTTAGAAAGTTGGCTCAAGAATTTGACAATAACCCTAAGGTTACTGTTTATGTTTAAGCCACTTGTAAGGAGGAATGCTAAATCAGTCAGTTGGCTGAATACACCATCCAATCCACACTTGTCCAAATAGAAAAGATAGAAATACGAAAGGTCAGTAGTGGTAGCGAAGTCCACAGAAAAGTACAGGTCTCTGAAAATTAGACCACACTGATGAAATCATGAGGCTAGAAATATTAAAATAGATATAAGCTAGAGGTACTTAAAGTATCTAGTTTGTTTTTAAGTCAAAAATGGTTTGTACGTAGAAAGTACAATCATTCATCCAACCACTAAAGGCTAACTGTTCGTTGCACATTTACAAGTCCAAACATAAGACATATTTTCTGTTACCAAGAAACTTACAATATGGTAATGGAAAAACTAAAACTAATTATGTGTTTAGGGAGTAATCATATGTCGCACTGCTGGCCCCTGACTTTGAGGAAGAAGTCAGCTGGTAACAGCAGTAAATTTATGGATTAGACTCAATGAACGAAAGAAAGAAAAAACAATAGGATGATCCTAGGCAAAGGAGAGTTGTAGAGATATGATAGAAATGACTATTTCATAGGAAATGCAAAAAGTATCCTGGCAGAAAAAATAGTTCTAGAGAGCCTTAACTGATGACAGATGGAGGAGTTTGGTCTTGATTGAGTAGGCAACAAGTACTCTTAAAGAGATTTGAGGAAATCAGAGCAATCAAAGTAATGATAGCTTATGAAACATCTGCCTCAGAGACACACACTGGTTAGATCAGAGGGGCCAGAAGACACCAGGGAGGCAGCATTGGCCACAGGACCGGTACAGGATTAGATAGGAAATCACCAGGATGTGGACCAATATGTGGGAGTGGACAGAATGAGCAGTGTTGAGATGTGTTTTGAGAAAGCTCCTGGCATGACACTGCAAGAGGGACTAAGAACAGTCGTGAGATGCTCCTGACCTTCTGTCTAGAGCAGTAGGAAGAAACACAGCATCATCAGTAGGTAGAAGTTAGTAAGATGTCAGCTAGTAGGTGGGAAAAGTACCAGTAGAAGCAGGCATATTAATGGAAATCAGTAAGAAAACAGGTGACCATGGAGGAAACTCTTCCAAACAGCTGGAGCCGTACACAAGCTAGACCCCAGAAATGGCAGAACCGTCAGGAAACAACTTGCTGCAACACAGAAGGGGTAACTGATCTACCTAAGGAAGATCAGAGACTTTAGGCTAGCAAAAAAGTCAGGATGTATAAAAGTGTGAAATACCAAAATAGAATGACTTCACTAGAGGGAAAGAATGAAAGAAATTAAAGCAGAAGGCCAGGGAAAGCATAAAGATTTTTTTTTAAAGGAAGGCAATTTGGTATACGTGACAGGAATGTCAAGGGTGGGGACTGTCATGGTCACCACTGGGTGACATCAGATAACTATAATGCTTGTGTATAATCATGGGAAGGATGGTTAAGAAGCGAGAGTCACAGAGCAAGCCACATGGACTGTTTTTTGAAGTATTTTTCACGGAATTAAAAGAAACAAATTGAAACATACAAACATATAGAAGGCCACTATTTGCCAAGGACTCTTCAAAGCATGAGTCATATCTTTAGCCATTTGCTATCAGCCACTGGAGAGGTAGCTACTGCTAGTGCCTTCATTTCAAATATGGAGAAACAGAGGCACACAGCAGTAAAAGAACTGGCCAGGTCACATTTCTGGTGAGAAAGACAGTGGAACTCTGAACTCAAGCGGCTCCTGCTCAGCTTTGTAAAGTCCCCTATTAGAGCAAGGAAGTAAACATTTGCCTAAACTAACACAAAGTTTATACTTGATAAGGTTTAGGAAAATTTAAAATATAAGGGAAGCAGAAAATCAGCCGTGTAAATTCCTACAAATTAAAGACAACTGGGGCCGGCGCTCAGAACATAAGTGAGTAGGGAAGGACGAAGAAAGAACGCAGAGCGCTGAAGTCCATGGACCCGTTGTGGTGGTGGCATGATGCCCCCCGCCCCCCTAGGCTCAGGCATTTGAACATTTAGTCCCCAGGTGGTGATGCTCTTGGGGGCAGGGTGCTGCAGCTTTGCTGGAGGAAGTACACACTTGGAGCGTAGCCTCACTCCACTTCCAGTCTGCTCTCCGCTTAGTGTTTTCAATGGAAGATTTGAATGCTCAGCTTCCTGCTCAGGATGCCATGCCTTGACACAATTATGAACTCTGGTGTTTTGAAACTGTAAGCTAAAATAAACTCTTTCTTCCATAAGTCGCAATAGAAGACTAATACACTTATCTGTGTGTGTCATACTCTGTGTGGCTAAGGGCAGAGGCTAGTCACTTGCCTGTAAGGCCTCGTGGAGGTTGCCATTGTAGTCTATGATCTCAGTAGCTCCTGGATCTCCCTTTTGCCCAGGTGGACCCTGTAACAGAAAACAAAGCAAGGGAAAGTCATGGGTGTTAGTCTTGCCTACAAGATGATGGCAAAAGAGGAACAGCTTGACTCCTCCCTGACTATTATTTCCTTACTACGATGCAAGTACATTTCAGAATAATAATTAGGTTTAAACTTTGTCCATATTATAAAGGAGATAGACTACATCTAACTTTCTGTCTATGTGAAACCGACTCCAAACACACCAGTTGTTCATTGTGTCTTGTGAAATACTATTAACTTTCTCCATATTTATTAATGTAACCCCTAATAACCCTTTTTTTTTTGGTTTTTCAAGACAGGGTTTCTCTTTGACTTTGGGAACCTGTCCTAGAACTCGCTCTTGTAGTCCAGGCTGACCTGAAACTCACAGAGCTCCTCCTGCCTCTGCTTCCCGAGTGCTGGGATTAAAGGCGTGCACCACCAGTGCCCATCCCCTAACCTCTCTCTACATATTGTAGGTTGCTTCCTCATCCCCTAAGAAGAGAGAGCAATGATGAACAATATTCTGTGGGAAATTCTTGGCTTCCCCCATAAGAATCTTATCCCATATGTCCCAACTTATCTAAAACTAGAGGAAATGGAAGACCAGAATATTATACACCCACAAATATACCTCCCTCAATCCAGATTACAAGCACACTCACATCTCTGCATAGTGTAGACTCCTATTCTACCCATTATATCTGCTGCACAATTTCCATGACCTGTGTCCTAGTCCTTCGACTTTTCTGAAGAGTATAAACACACAAACCAGTGCCTTATTAAAAAATGGAAGTCTTATTAGCTGGGTAGCTGTGGGCTTCATAATACCCTCCCCCCCCCAGAATAAAGGTGTTTGGTGAGAATCTCTACACAACCTGTGCCTGAATGAAAAAAATAAGGACCCAAGGGGAAGGTTAGCAGTGGGAATAATCCAAGCCTACCATTAATGGCTTTGGTTGTATACCATCTATTCAGATGTCTCTCACAGCTACACCAACATGACCTCAAATGTAAGTTTAGACAAGAGGAACACTTACCCGTGGTCCCAGAGCTCCAGAGTCTCCTTTGTCTCCACGATCACCCTTTGCCCATGAATAAAGGAAATAATGAATTAGAAACAGGGCCACCGCTGTAGGAATCCATCACACCTAATGAGCTATTTGTACCACACAGCCGTGCTTTAGACACGAACTGCAGACATATGAAGCACACATCACGGCCACCACTGTAAATGCCTCCTAAAGATGCCACTGATGGGCAGTTAAATGTCATCCTCAGAATACAGGGTATGTTGGAACAGTCAGACAGGCTGTGTACTCTCTGGCTAGGCTTTGCAAAAGTAAAGTGATTTCTCGGGTACCCAAAGTAACATTTACCTTCATACTGACAGGACTGCTTTCCTTTGAAGGGGTGTGAATAAAAGGAAAAGGACCAAACCACTGTGGCATCTGTCCTCATGGAAGAAAACAGAGATAATTGGGACAGGAAGGGCTGGAGAGATCAATTTAGGGAGAATGGGATTGTAAAGTCAGAGGCTGGACCTCCCTCTGATGACAGTAGCTGCTGGTAGCTACTTTAACACTCTGTGGGAGTTGACAGCAGTCAGCTAGACCAGGCTGGCCAGACTTCCTTTCTCTTATCTCTCCCCTTCTCCTTCTCCTCTCTGTCCTCTCTTTTCTGCTCCCCCCCCCATTTCTATTTCAAAGCAATAGGAAATCATCTCTGGAGTTTTATTTACAGTGTCATAACCCCACCCACGGAGACACCAAGAATAGACTACACGCTCTCCAAATGATCAGAGGTTGAACATGACAAGAGAAGAAAGTACTGAAGTCTGTGTATATCTAAAGGGTCTTCAACTCGGCCCGAAACTAGAGCCCCCTTTCGATACAGAGCTCACAACATCTGTCACTCTACATAGTTACATAAAACGGATAAGGACCAGTGAGGATAAGGAGAAAGGGAGCCTGTGATATACAGGTTATACTAGTGGCATGGGCCATTACAATTAACTTCTCCAAGGATAGGGTATTAACAGCCTCTAATCTCTAGTCCCATTTTGTATTCTTCTATGCTATCAGCTAATGGCATTTTTCAGTGACAGTATATATGCTATTTCAGATAGTGTAAGCATCATGACGAAGGGACAACTGCTATTGGTGGTGACATTTTATTGTGGTTATTATTTAATGTGTGCACATGTGCCCGCATTGTGTCCCAGTGAGTGTGCAGGGATCAGAGTACACCCTCAGGCGTCGGTGCCTGTCTTTCACTTAATGAGAAACGGGGTCTCTTTGTCTTTTCCACTGTGTAAGCCAGGTTAGCTTCTGGGGGATCCCTTGTCTTTCCTCCTATCTTCTTGCAGGAGTGCAGGGATCACAGATGCTTGAGTTATTTTGTGGGTTCTGGGCGCTCAAACTCAGAATTTCATGTTGTATGGTAAGAAGTTTTCCTCACTGAGCCATGTTCTAGTCCTACGGTATTGTTCTATCTCTCTGAATGGAGTCACGTGACGAACCAAAGTATAACAGGAGCATTCGTCAACAAAAACAGGGAATGAAAACTAAGAGCAAACAATTCATAAACTGTCTCTTTTCCCCAAAGAAGCTAATCTCAAGAAACAGGTCATACACTGCCTCTTACAGAATAGTCTGAAGGTGGCAGGCGAATGGCTCAGTGGACAGAGTCACTTGCCACCACGCCCGAATACTTGAGTTACATCTCGGAACCCAAATGGTGGACAGAGAGAACTGGCTCCCACAAATTATCCTCTGACTTCCATATTGTGTGTTGTGGCACACAGCATAACACACACACACACACACACACACACACACTACGTTAAAAAGGGATAGTCTTAAGGAAAAGAGCAGACAACAACAAGGAAAAATAAGCCAAATGTCTTGAGTTATAATCACAGGGACAAACCAAATGTAAGCCCTGAAGGAAAGGGTTCATCGACGACAGAACTCTTTGAGGAAGAGGCAAAAGACACATATCTTGAAGGCCTGAAGTCACATCAAAATGGTTATTGGTTACTGACCTTTGACCCCTTTGGGCCTCTAGCTCCTGATTCACCTTGTTTCCCCTATTGTAAGAGAGTATGAAGATGAGAAAGAGAACGACAGGGAAGAAGATAAGAACAGTGGCTCAGAACAAAGAGGATCACGGACACACTTTATCTTAACTGCCCGGCACAGTGCCATATAATGTTGGTTATTTTAACACAGAGAATACACATCGCTGTAGTAGGAGCTCACTCCCGGGTCTCTGTCAACCTCTACCCATTATGACTCTGAAGACGTTGCCATCAGTGGCCGGGGAGAGCTCTGTAAGGGACTCTGTGAGTCTCAATAGTGCTTCTGCGCTGAGGGGTCTTTCTCATCAGAGATTACATCACCCCTGCCTCCGAGAGAGGCTGGTTATTAGAGTAGAGGATGATCACGTTAGTTTGCATAATGTCTAAGTAAATGGAGCTTGCATAGGCAAATAAATCCTTAGCACTAATATTTCCAAGGGGTCACACGCCATCAAGTTACCATGGAAACGAACACAGCACTGGGCAGTGAGGGTTTTTCTCAGCCGGCTTTAACACACATTGAGCGAGGGTGTGTTATATGACAGCAACTCTCCCTTTACGTTCAGATATGCTATTAAATTTCTTCACTGAGCTGCACAGAGTAAACAAGAAGAGTTGAACTGCAGAATCACTAGCCATCGGTGTGCATTTTAATGAGGTGCTTATGATTTGGATCGTTTTAGCATCTGTTGAAGAGTTAGTTGCATAGTCTATAGCAAGAGGCGTGCACTCCCAAGCTAAAGACAGCTCTCCTCCAACGTAAGAATAACTGACCTTTGGTCCTGGGGCTCCCGGGTCTCCTCGTTCACCTCTTCCAGGAGGCCCTGCCTCCCCACGGTCACCCTGTCACAAATTGCAAAACAGGTAAATAATAGCCTCTCCATGCCTGTTTCCCGGAGAGGAATACAGAGTTCGATAAAACTGAGGTAAACAGAGAGTCACTGCTTGTTACAGCATGCGGTACTGTGTTCGTCTCTGAACATGAATAACCCCATTCCATACACAAAACATTCTAGGGCTGTTAATTTTGGTGCCATCTTGGCTGGGGTAGGGAGCATCTCTGGGACTGTGGAAGTGTTCTTCCTGTTTTTATTAGAGTGTGTTCAGAGGAGATCGCATAATCGTCAGTGACTGAGTCGATGGACGGAGAGGGGGAGGTTTACCCTTCAAATACGTGATTGTTGCCCACGTGGCTTCGGGATGGATAGAACCAAAGGCAGAGAGGACAGGCAAGCTGTCTCTGTCCCTCTGGAGCACCTTTAGCTGCTCATAACACCACAGCCAGTTTTCTGTTTTGAGGGCAAGACCAGCACCAGACGCTGCGTCTCAGACCTTTACCTTCTGCCAAGGAGTTTCAGCACCAGCATCCGTGATTCTGAAGCCATCAGACCTGAACAGAGCCATGCCACTAGGATGCTTACTAGGATGCTTTTAGCTTTAAATACCTGACTTCTGTGGGACATCTTTGCCTCCATAATCGCATGAGCCAATTCTCCTAATAAACTAGGAGGCATATATGGTAGGTAAATATGTATATATATTTACCTAACCACTGACCCACCCACCCATTCACTCATTGATGTAGGTTCTGAGTCTTTAGAACACCCTGATATAAATATGTAATCCTGCCTTCTAATCCCATTTTATAAATATGGAAAGAGTTTGGTAAATGTCCATTAGGTGGCTATGCAGATAAATGTAAAGGTTATCAGTATGGCTTCCTCGTCCTCTTCTTCCTCCTCTTCCTGCTCCTCCTCCTCCTCCTTTTTAATTGTTGAATGGACATCTATTCACATTCTGTAGCAAATTTTAAGAAATTCCAGCAAAAATACATAGCACAGTGGGGAAGTTCCATACTTTATACTCTGACATCCTTTTTGTTTTGTCCTCTGACTGAAATTCAATTTTTCTAGGCAGATGTAGCTCTGACAAGGCACAGGATAGGCCCTTCGAACACACTGTTCCTACTACAGATTCTTAGATCCCATTAGTCTCCTTCCTTCGGGCATGTCTTCAGTGCCGTGTGAGTTAGACACACCATTTTATTTTTCAGATCTCTTGTTAGGGGTACAAATTCAGACCACCTACAAACAATGGTAAAAATATAATTGTTGGGTCAAAATAGATCTTCAAATTGGAAATTTCTCCTTAGGACACAACTCTTGTTGAGATAGGCAATCCAGCTAACAAGTTTAGGATATTGCTAAAACTGGCTTTCTGTGCATACGCTTGCTTGTGGAAAGGTCAAAGGGCATCACATCTCCTCCTTCTCCTAGAGGTCCAGAATAAAGTGTTTGTTCTTTAGAGTCATGCTGAGGCCTTCATAGCAGCCATTACTCTCAACTTTGTGGCTCTATCTCTGAGTCTTTCTCTTTTTGAAACTATGGAGCAGTTTAACAGTTTGCTATTAAAAAAAAGTACTTAGGGGCAGGCCGTGGTGGCACAGGCCTTTAATCCCAGCACTCAGGAGGCAGAGGCAGGAGGATCTTTGTGAGTTTGAGGCCAGCCTGGTCTACCAGTTCCAGGCTAGTTCTAGGACAGGCCCTAAAGCTACAGAGAAACCCTGTCTCAAAAAACCAACCCCCCCCAAAAGTATTTAGGGATAAATATCTCTACCAGCTGGGTTTCTTTTTCTTCCCCTGTCTAGCAAAAATCTTCTACAGGTGAAGTTCCCAATGGCTCCCTGTGCTAGGACTCACCCTTCTTGTGTGGTGGTGGATATACTCTCCCTGGTCACCTTCTCCTCTCTCCTGGCTTTAAGGCTTTAAATTCAATCGATATAACAGTTCTCATGTCAATAGACAATTCCTTTCCTCTCTGTCTTTCCCTCTTAGAAAGGTCTATCTTGTGCGAATTTGTTCAGGCGAAAACAGAATTTCTTTAATGGGTTTGATAGCTTATTGTGTGAAAATGGGATTTCTTTGAAAAACAATTTTGCATAATCCTACGAGTTCCAGTCCCCTTAGGCAATGGATAGTTTCCGCTGCTAGGATTAGAGTTATTTTCACTTGACCAGAGCAGAAATGAGGCCTACTCCATCTGAATGGACCGTGACATAGTTCTCTAACTATTGGAAGCCACCCCTGGCCTATTTCTGCTGAACCCAGAACTCACCGAGGCAGAGTCTGCTGTGGCTTAAAAATAAATGAGTATAAGTTGATGCTACTTTGTACCTTTGATTCATGAGTCTGTCCTGAGCACAACTCCATCACCGTTTATTTCTCACTGGGCAAATAGAGGGTGACCTCTGGACTTGCCTCTCTGTCTGTAGCACTGTATTGTTGTTGCATGGCAACATACAGCTTTTGCTTTCAGGGTCCACTCTAAGGTTGCCAAATAGAACACTCAAAGACGGTTTTCATTACAGAATACTTCTGCAAACATCATTTAGGGCAGACATTTTTTGGACTGAAGCATTTAGAAATCTCTGTGACATCCATGGGGATGGGATTAATGTCCAATTTGCAAGCGCATCCCGAAATGGATGAGGAAGGGAAGAAGGGGTTGGTGAGCTCTGGCCCTCCTTTCTCTCAGCCACCTTTCCATGTCACTGGGAAGCCAGTGGCATCACACTTACTGAGGAATCCAGAGGGCAAACTTGAACTACGACTATATTCCACCCACCGTCGGATGTGCCTAGAGCTTCCTGGATATAACTTCCAACTCCATTAATAGGTGGATCAGGCTGCCTTGGTTCTAAGGCAAAAATAAATGGCCACCAAAACAGTGGAATAGTCCTCCCATCTTTTCTTTTTCAGCAGGGATGGCACAAATTTCAGAGAAAAAGGAGGGGAATAAAGGTCTACTTACTTTTGTTCCTGGTAACCCTGGTAATCCCGGCTCTCCTTGAGGACCAATGAAGCCTGGTTCTCCCTTAAAAGAGATGGGCATGCAAGGCATTATTCATTTGACAGCACACTCAAGTTTTCCTACTGTGGTTCTACTTCCTTGATTGCGTACAAGTGTTCCAGCTGAGCTCAAACTACTCCCTATACGATGGCCATCAATGAAATGAGTGGCGCTCCAGAGACGCTTTAGAAAGTGATGAAAATGTCTTTGTAATAACTCTGTCCCTCATCCATCTGGTGTGTCTTGTCATTTAACGCACAAAGACCAATTGTGTTTGGGTGGATGTGGAGGGGCCTATAAGGCTCCATTCCTGTGTCCACAGCCTTGTGAAATCTCTTCCTCTTGAGTCAAGAGTAGATTCCCTATGTAGACCTGGTGAATAAGATATTCTGGGAATGAAAGGACATTACATCTGAGTGTAAGTTGAGTGGCTTCTGTCTGGGGTGGGTCTTTCCTGTATCTTCTCACTTGGACCACTGATTTTGAGAGGAACAAACCACCCTGCTGTGGAGTAGCCCTGTGGAACTACCACAGTGTGAGGACTGAGGGCTGTCAAGAACTCTGCGAGGGAGTTTTGGAGTGGATTTTCCATCCCCTTAGATTCTTCTAAAGAGGTTGCAGCCCTGGATGCCTGCTTCATGGCCGTCTCTTCAGGGACTTAGAGGCAGAGCCACTTGCTCTGCTCTGCTTGAATTCCTTCCTTTCAGAGACTTTAAGCCGACGGTTTTCAGCAGCTACTTTCTAGGGTAAGGCGGTAGGCAATAATACACAGCTGATACAATGAATATGGCCAGGCGAGAGAATAGCAATATTCAATATGAAAGGAGAGTCCCTCTTCTTGTCACACCCCTCAAACGTTATCTCTACTACCTGGAGGAAATTCATCTGTGTCCTAATAAAAGGCACCCTGGTCTTGGCATAGATCTTTCAAGCCTTAAACACCTCTGGGTTATAGGAATGCTAAGGGACCTCCTTTGTTGCTTGTAACTTGTCCCTTCCAACTACACATGAATTGCTACAAACAGGAGACACTAAGTGAGTCCTCTAGATATTGCCAAGGTGTGAGTAACCAATCTGATGGCTAGAAGGCTGGAATTTTCCATTTTATTTCATCACCTATGGGAAGGGAGAATGACTGGAGGTTGACATCAATCACTAGAGGGTAGCGATTTTCTCAATCATGCCCTGGAATCCCCATAGAAACCCTAAATGACAGAACCGAGTAGACTTTTCAAGTCAGCAGACACAGTTACAAGCCAGGAGGGTGGAGCGTTCAGACCCACAAGGACAGAGGCTTTTGTGGCTGGAGATCTTCCAGACACTGCCCTATTCAGTGGGCCATTTTATTCAGCCTTTAGAATAAATGACAAGGGCAAGCATGGCACTTTGTCATCCTGAGCTGTGACTCATTCTAGCCAATTCTTAAAACAGGTTGTCCCCCAAAGCCCTAAATCTATAGCCACTTCAGAAAAAGCGCAAATAATCCCAGTCACTGATAATTTGCTACATGCCACTGAAATGAAGTTAGTCTTGTAAGGTTGGTCCTGAAGACTGTGACATCTGAGACTAAGAAGGACAGCATCAGAATAGGACTGAGCTATGGCCCAAATTCAGTTGGCATCTGAACCAGAAAGATGGAGTCCTGGGGTCTGGAAAGAAACTACTTGAACCAGTGTTTACATCGTCCTGATTACCTACCAAGTTTTATTTTCTTCTTAACTAGTCAAGGGAAACAAGACATAAGGATCTAACCATTTAGAATGTAAAATGCATGACAAAAAATTTAAAGCAAACCTTGCGATGGTTCTGTTCTAATACTTCCTGTTTTGTTTATGCTTGGACTATTTCTGGAAGAATTATTGGTTCAATTGATTTCCCTCCAGATCAGCCATCACTGAACCTGTTTCGTGGTGCTTGGAACCACGTGGTGCTAAGCAGGAAGGCATAGAGAGAGTGTTCTGTAGGCATGTTAAAATGTCTGCATCTATGCTTCAAGCATGTTATCTAAAAGTTAGCTGCTGGGAATTGTGAATAGGATGTCATCACTGTGAAACATTTCAGGTGACACACCACTTAGGTTTAGTCTGACTTGGGCATCCCAAGGGTAGAGAAGTGAGGGATGGGTCTCGGAACTGAGGTTGAGGGTAAGGTTATTTCCTATAGTTCCTATTCTACTGGGGCACTACAATCTACCTCCTCCTGGAAGGGAAAACCTGGCAAAGATGTCATACTTCTTAATATTTCAAAATAAAAATCTGAACTCAATTCAGAGAAATCATTTATAAGCCTACCTTTAGCACAATAATTTGATGTGTTATTTTATAAACAAAAACCCTATAAGGGATACATTTATTTATAACTAAAACATTTAATCTAATAGGGTTAATATTTAACATGAATAGGTGTCTTTTTTCCACTTTCAAGAATATGAATGAACGTTACAGTCATTGGTTATGGCGGATGTCCCAAAATTGTAATGTAGAAGTTGAATATTTGCTTTTCAATTTGAACTCTTTATACATTTTCAAGCAAAGATAAAATGATCTCTTTAGCCAGTCAAGTGGAAACTTCATTAAAACATACTAATACAAAGCAGAAAGGGAAGACGACACAGAAATACAGTCCGAATTTGAGTTAGTGTTTAGTTTACGAAAAAGTCAAGCATGCGGTTGCATTTTCCACAAACAAGTCTTTGTTATCTCAGCAGTTAGATACAGGCATTTTTAATCTTCCTTCCAAAGATACATTAAATTTCCTTTAATAGATGATTCAGGCCAAAATTATTTAATTGAAAGAGATAAATTAAGCTGCAGACTTGGTTTTTAGCACCGTTGTGCTTATAGGCTTTGAAAATTTTTAGTATGATTAGTCGCTCATGATCACCACTCCGAGAGAGTATCAGTCACATATGTACATCTCGATACACCTCATGTTCCAGTACCCTCAAGGCAAATCCCACAGAGCTAACTATAGGGCCTGAGGCCTGTGTCTACTTCCTCTGAGTGTTTGGTCACTTTAGGGCCATTGCTCCATCTTCCCTATCTTCTGGCGTGGTGGGGTGGGGACACTTATTGGTCTCTTCTCTCTTCCTCTCTCTCTCCCTCCTTTCAGTCTTTCGACAGGGTTTCACTGTGTAGCCCTGGCTGTTCCGGAACTTACTTTGTCAACCAGGCTGTGCTCAAACTTAGAGATCCACCTGTCTCTGTCTCCCAAGAGCTGGGATTAAAGGCGTGTCTCACTACTTTCTCAAACATTTTAAGCTTACTTATCTCCTGAGCTTATACTGGTTCTGACAGTTTTGGTTCCAAAAGTTTTCTTGTAGAAACCCTGGTTCTCCCAGATGGTCTGAAGAGGGCTTAAAGGTCAGATGCCTTTACAATGGGCAAAGACATTTGTCTGCTGTTGGCCTGAAGCATCTGAGTGTGAACAGCTCGTGATGTGGCTTCGGATTTTGTGTGGAGTCTAACCTTTAAGACATAGCCACTCATGGAGCTCGGAGGTTATAGCAAAGGAAACTAACAGCTCTATCTGAATAAGTTGTTAAAATAACCTTTCATTGTACAATTACCTATCTGAGATGTGTTAAATACTTCACCCCGAATAACAACTTGAGAAACTGAATGTAGACAAGTAGATGAGAATCCAGCTGTAGTCCAAGCCAGACATTAAAGAGATTTGGGGGGGGGGGGGAAATCTTGATATACCAATATCATCCTTCTTACATTGTTTTCTGATCTTATTTGAAAAAAATTGGTTTTTTTCCTAAAATGCACAATCTACCTAACAACGAGCAAAATGTCTCCAGTTTAATTTTGAACAAGATATATTTTTGGCTGAAGTCAGTTTTCTTCAACTCTTCTGTTAATACCTATCCACCACCACCCACCTAAAAACAACCAATCCAAATATCTCAGTGTAACAACAACATAAATGTGAAGTCTTCTGGATAAAAAAGTTAAAGAGCAAACAGACTAAGGAGCCGCATTAGCCCCTCCAGTCCTGTCCACCATTCGAGAAACAACGGCTCCCTTCTATATTATGAAAACATGAAGCACAGCTGGCAAAAGCTTAGGAACGTGGCTTTTCTGAATGACTGCTGAAGATTTCATGAGGTCTTGGGATTCTATAATAAAATCTTAACTGACTTTCTAAGTACAGCAAGGGAATATTTCAGACAGTCTCTACCTTCTAAATGGTCATTGTGATAGCATTCATAAAGGCGAGAAGAACCGGCACATACTTAGCAGGGTCGCTAGTTCAATGAAGGGAAGGAAGAAAGGAAGAGAGAGATAAAAAGAGAGGCAGTTTCATTTTCACAGAGATGGCTTGCCAGATGTTTCTAGATAGACATCCAGAACATTCCATCCATTAGGCAAAATGGTGGCCAGAAACTCCTAACTGATTAGTTCTTGCTTGTAGAAAAAATATCTGGCTTTTTATTTATTATTATTAGTTTTATTTTTATAAATTATTATCAGTTAAAGAAATAAATTACATCATTTTCTTAACCTAAAAACCCTCTCTAGATTGAGTCTAGTTTTCTGTCATTTTTATTGTTTCTGAACAGATCTGATTTTCATTGTCCCCCAAAATAGTGCAATAGAGTTTGAAAAATATGTGCTGGTTTGCCTGGGTGCTAAAAGCACCCCAAAATATTGATTAATGTGTCTTGACACAGAATGCAGTAGCCATGCACTGTTCTTTTTGCTTAGAGGCTAATTAGAATTCAAGTCAGCATGACACCTGCTTTTGAGAATTACAGCAGTAGCATTATTATACTAAGAACCGTGAGGCAGTCAGTTTGGTTATTGACTGATTTCTAAAATTATTGAGGAGACAAAAAAAATGAGAAGTGGAGTTTGTCCCTAAAACACTTATTACTCATAAGGATACAATCTGAGTATAAATTAATACATTTTAAATGTTCTGTTGAAAATGAACTAAATAGTGAATTTATTTAAAACCCAGAAAAACTGTCTTTTGGAGATTTTGTTTGTATTAACAGAATTGCATCATGAAGGACA